TAGTTAGCGGACGGCTTGCATGGTACAATGAAGTGGCCACCCTACCTTTACAGCAATCCAAAGCCTATCGTACCAGTCCATGTATTCATCTAGCTGTTGCTGTGTCATTTCCATTGCATCCATCTCTGTGGCTTTCATTGCAGCACCATTTGTGAGGAACCCCTGTGAAATCCCCCTACTGTCAAATGTGTTTTGAGCTTCAGCCCATTTCTCCCAATCCATAACCTGGACGGAAGGATCATTTGGCGCCGGTGGGTATCTTTTGACGTTGTCAAATGGGAACAGAAGCTTAGTAGCAACAATTACAAGGCACATTAGTTGCACTTCTGGTAGGTATAGACGACGAAACTTCCCAGTCACATCTTTGGGAAACCTGTATGAAAATTCCACGCTTTTCATCAGCCGTTTAACAGCCGAAAAGACTTCAACTATTCAATTTCTTAGCAAAAAGGCATCCGATAACTTGGAATGGAAGTAGCTTATTGGTAGACTTACTAGGTAGCGCGAGCTGTTTCACATACGAGAAAAGGAGTAATGATGTGTTGACGGCTGGAAACTCCATGCTAAAACCACGGTGATAAAGCATTATCATGTCTGCAACGGCTCGGTGAACTTGATCCCCAACAGGAAGATTCTAATATACTTGTCAGACCTTTTTGCTTGTAAGCATTAAAAGAAGGGTAACGAAACCTACCCTTGTATCAAAAGCGACGTGATATATGGCAGGGAGCCGGTCTTTCATTTCTGAGGGTATAAAACGGAGAGGCCTCATGAACGGTATTTCATCCTCAGCAACCCACTTTTGCAGATACCCAATGCTCACTGGAAGCCGGAGTAATAATGTACCCAAGTAACAGAGAGCTAAAGAGTCAATTACTCGCGGCGAAGTACTGAGTTTCCGTTTGTGATATCGATACTCTTCTTTATCAATTTCATTTGATACGCCAGTCTGAGAACTGAAGAGCTGGGTGGAATTCTCGTCGTCGGCATAGATATCGTCCCTCCCTTCATAAATCTTCTCGAGCCGGAGAATCCATAGCTCCTTTACAATCCGCTATACACTCTATATTAGCAAACCGGTCTACATTGTACGTATTGGACGAAAACTCACCTCGAGTTCTGAGGGAAGCCCCTTGACATGAATCAGGGCGTGACATTGTTTCCACAGCAAAAGCTGATAGGCTTCAAGGAACAGCTGGAATGCATCACTTCCATGATAAGCTTTACCAAGTGTGCATTAGTAGGAGTAGTTAAACCAGCATTTTGGGAATGTGTCTTGCAGGTCTTACTTTTGGATCTTCGTTCAGCCTGGACCTTCTTCCGCCGGGCTGTTCTGCCATGGGCGCCGAAGTTCTCGTCGTCCACAACAACTTCCTGGCCCTATATAAGTAGAGTAAGCAAGACTAGCTGGATGATGATTAAAAATTCGAGTTTCTTCTACTTTACCTGCTGTTGATGCCCTTGACGACAAAACCACAAGCCGTTCTCGATATAGTAACGCGTTTCGCGGCAGCCCTCCTGGCCGCAGATACCGCGCGCAGACTCTGCCATTAGAAGGCCATTTTTATATGTACCACAGAAGACACTCTCATTCAGGTCGTATCTAATGCCTGGTTTGCTCGGTTAGGTTAACCTTGCCCCTTCGCCACGCCCACAAAGGAGAGAGAAATGCAGGTTTTGAATATGCGAATAGACTATGTCACCTCTTGAAGAGCTACTGATAGCGGCACGTGAGCCAATGAATTTCAAGGTTTCAAGGTATTCTGTGATGTACTTAATGGGACAATTGTAAAAGAAGAAGCTGGCTGTACAACGAAGGAAATGCTTTGACATCGTATATCTTTTCATTCATCATCACTCTGTAATTTAGAAAATGCCACAAATGAAGAGCATCCACTTGTATACTAGAAAAACATAGCCCGGAAAAAGCTGCCAGTACCTATTTCTGCCATTTGCGGATGCAAGCAAAAGTCAAGAAGATGGCTTTTCCTGAGGATGCTTAACGCCTGCGTAGGTGATTTGATAGGACGACTTATGGACATATAATTCTAGCAAGAGCAGGTAGAAGAAAGTTAAAATGGTGAATCGGGAGTCGTCGTACTAATTTAATGGGCGACTTCTTTGGCGTCCATGGCGACCTCCTCACCCATTGCAGTCAAAACAACAACGTCTAAAGGAGTCGTTAGCTGGGAATCTCATTATGATTTAGGTGAGCATAGCGGGGTTTACTTACTGGTGTCCTTCTCCTCAGTCCTGAAGAGTCTCGTGATCTTATCACCAATCTCACCAGGAGGAAGTTTAACATCGTCCTTGGGAGATCCATCGTCCGTCATCAGGTTGAGGAAACCGTCGTCACTGATGTCGACCTGCCAAAATGTTAGTATATAAGAACCCGCATCTTACAGATTGATTATCAACCAACATGTGGCAACTTACCAGCTGGTATTCCTGGCGGCGGACGTTGGGGACATCCATGTTGTGGGTGGAAGGAGAGAGATCTTCAAGCTTCTTGCCAGTGAAGATGTCGATGGCGACCAAGTGGACTTTAGCGTGACCGTGCTTTCCGGTCTTCGAGGTGGTCATCTCAACAATCTTGCAGGGGCGGCCCTTGATGACGACGTGTCCGTTCTTCCTCAAGGCAGAGCACTGCATGGGGTAGGTAGTGGAGGCGCCAGCATCGGCGTTGTCGAAGGTGACATTGTGCTATAAACCAGAGTCAGTGACCATACTCCTTTTCTGTGGCTGCCGAAAAAAATTGATGTCGCAGCGCTTGGGATGCGGGGAAAAGGCTTAGGAAAGTGGGATGTTTTTACCTGCTCGTCGTCGGCCATGATGAAGGATAATGAGTCGGTAAGCTAGAAAATAGTATGGAGGTTGGATAGGAGAGAGGCCGACAAGTGTGCGCGAGATGGAAGAGGTTGTGAGAAGGCAAGGGTGGGGAGGGAGACCGAAGTTGAAGTAGGCAAAGAAATTTATTTAAAATGCTTTCCCTCCCGCCAAACGAAAAAAAAAAAAAGTAAGCACCTGTGTAGAGGGGTCGAGAGTGTTTAGCTTATTTGGGCATGTTTGCATGCTTTGTTTATTTCTGCACCTTTGGCTCGTGTCGACGCCCGTAGTTAACTAGTTGATAGCTTCAACGAGGCCGGAAGACGAGGACGAAGCGATGACGAGACGGGGACGACGACGAGGACAAAGATACAGGCGACGGCAGTGACAGTGACATTGGGACATGCATGTTTAAAAGCCCGTTGGATGCAGACCGGGCATCGAGAGTGAAACAGCACGATGTGGCCAGACAGAGGAGCTGCTGGCCAGGGAGGCCCAGTTGCCTCTGCGTCCACCAGCAGCCTGCCATATTCTCCGGCACGACGGCAGTCGCAGCTGTCGTCTGCTAATAAGACGGGACGACCGTCATTTAGCCCTAGGTCCTCCTCGCTGTCGTTCTCTCCCACCCCGAACGCCTCCACTACCTCCCTACCCGGCACCGCTCGAGCCGTAAATGGACTCTCAAGGCTGCCTCCTTCAGGCATGAGGAATCAAAGCTACCCTGACCCGGTGGATGTTTTAAATGGCATCATTGGCCAGCGACATCCCAACTCTACCTCCGATTATGTGACAGCCTCGCCGCCAGAGAAGCCAGAAGTCCTTTGTGAGAACATCGATTTTGGTGACCTCAGCTTAGAGGAGTTCGCCCACCGGATGGAGACGCAGCCTGCGCGCCGGAGCTGCCGTCAGGGACCACAATCTTTTGAACAGTGTGAGAACCCCGTGGATGTCTATTCACAGCCCCCCGTTGTTAATATTTGGATGTATATAGATGAGAATGATCGGAATGTATATGAAGAACTTCACAATTCGATCACAGTACGTCACATCTCTCACATATTCAAACCTTTCACCAAATCCCTGAAAAAGAGCCTCTGAGCTAAAACGTCTTTATAATCCAGGGATGCGACGAAGTACTGAAATCGGTTGAATTATACCTCACGAAGTTTCAGGCTGAGCTAGGGGCTATATCCTCAAAGATTGAGTCCCTGCAGTCCCGTTCATTCCGACTAAGTTCACAGCTCGAAAATAGGAAGAATGTTGAACGAATCTTGGGGCCGTCCGTTGAGAAAATAAGTGTATCACCACATACTGTCCGATCCATATCAGATCGTCCCATCGACCAAGAGTGGGTCAAGGCTCTGAACGAGCTCGATGCACTCTCTTCTACGATCAATGCGGACAACTCTACCCCAGAAAATATTAAGGCCATCGAAGATGTCAGGCCCTTGCTGAAAAATTTGCAAGAAAAGGTGAGTTACTTACGTCCTAATCACAACTCACTCAGGGTTATCGCTAATTTTAGACAAAGGCTGTGGAGCGGATTCGGGACTTCCTTGTTACTCAAATAAAAGCCATTCGATCTCCGAATATGAATGCTCAGGTTATTCAGCAACAGACATTGCTGAAGTACAAAGATCTATACGCCTATCTCTCAACCCACCACCCGACATTATCCGAGGAGATTACCCAGGCATATGTCAATACCATGAGGTGGTATTACTTATCAAATTTCACTCGGTATTCCCAAGCTTTGGACAAATTGAAGCTTTATTCAATTGATCGAAATGATCTCCTTGGAGGCGACACATCTTCACAGAGAACAGGTAAACATATTTTTACCTTGATATACTTCCGATTAGTTCAACATGCTGACCTTTCTTAGCACATGGTAGCTCTGGTAGCCGTAGTCCTGCGCTTGCTGCTCATGACCCCCTTGCCCTGGGTCGGCGCATGGACATACTGAGATCAAATTCCCACATGGCACTCTCGTCTTACTTGGCAGAGGAAGACAAAGCGACACATGGGCTGGAGATTATCTTCCGAAATTTCAACCTGGCACTGATTGATAATATCTCTGCCGAGTATTCGTTTATGGCTGAGATGTTTTCTGCGAAGTCAATACACTACACCTCACAGAAAGTGACCGAAATCTTCGAACCTACATTTGCATCTGGACAAGCTCTAACAAAACAACTTATTGAGTCTACTACCGATTGTATTGGTATTCTTCTTTGCGTCAGATTGAATCAGCAGTTTGCATTTGAAATGCAACGCCGAAAGGTCCCAGTGGCAGACCCTTACATCAACGGCATCAACATGCAGCTGTGGCCACGGTTCCAGATGATCATGGACATGCATTTTGAATCACTAAAGAGGATATCAACGGCCTCTACCCGAAGCGGCCTTTCAGTCCTAGCGTTGACGTCAACAGATGCCCAATCGTCCGCTCCACACTTCCTTACGCAGAGATTCGGCCAGTTTCTGCATAGTATATTAACCTTATGCAATGAAGCTGGTGACGATGAGCCGATTTTCAACAGCCTAGGCAGACTGGTGAATGAATTCGACGCACTACTTACCAAGCTAAGCAAGAGCAGCGGTGACGCTAAGAGAAGAGAACGTTTCCTCTTCAACAATTATTCATTAATTCTTACTATTATCAGTGTATGTCATGATTCAACCTTACCCTGAGTTTGGCCTTCCTGACCTATCTTTTAGGATACGAAAGGAAAACTGGCAACCGACCAGAAAGAGGTGAGTGTTTATCTAACAACCTATCTATCATTGTTTCCAATTAACTAACAATCTCGTAGCACTTCGAATCTTTTGTCAGAGGATCAGCTAGTCGTCGGTAATCATACTAATTAACGGAGCTTTTTTTTTTCTTGTTCAGGCGTAGAACTTTTAAGTATAGAGCAAGTTTTCACGGCGTCTAGGTTGGTCTATGAAAGCAAGCGGCTGCGAGTAAGCGCGGGAGTCCGGCTGGCGTGTCACCCTGTTTACTCTACATATATATATACAATGGCACGTACATTGTGTTTCTTTGTCTTTCTTTGCTTTGCGTTTCAATAGGGTCCTCCATGTTTTGTTGTAGATCAGTCAACAACGCATAATTAAGAATGCCCCTGCTGATCTCTACGGAACGCCAAGTCCAATTGGGTCTCGGCCATTACTAAGCCCCAACCACGCATTATTTGCCCCGTCTGGGGTAACGCTCTTCAATTTCCGATCCAACCATCTGCGTTTTAGATGGTCGCAGTCTTTACGGAGTATATATGAATTGGCAGACCATTTGATTGGATGACCCTGTGAGACGAGAAGCTGAGTTGACAATATCGCTTCAGCGTTGGCTGCGTGATGTTCGCTAGACCTGCATTTTCAGGGCCGCTAGCAAGAGGCCGGCTATTCTCTAGCAGCAGCAACCTACATGCCGACTTCACACATGCAGTAGGTAGTATTATAACTCTCCCTGAGGCGCACTCTCGCCTTAAATTTAGTTTGATCCTTATAATGCGGCGATTGGAACATACTCTGACGATGTTGAAAACAGGTTATCGGAGCTGGAGTTGTAGGGCTTGCAGTTGCTCGTCAATTAGCAGCTCGAGAAGGAACATCAACTATTCTACTAGAGAGACACTCAGCAGTAGGAACAGAGACTAGCAGTCGAAACTCTGAGGTCTGCACCGGGTCTTTCATCAACCTTTATTTTAACGGGATAATCAGACTAACAGGCCCTACAGGTTATCCACGCCGGTCTATACTATGGTGTTGGATCATTAAAAACAAAACTATGCATTGAAGGGAAAGAAATGCTTTATGAGCTCTGTCAGAAGCAAAATATCCCACACTGCAACACTAAGAAGTGGATTGTTGCCCAGGACGAGGAACAATGGAAAGAATGCCTAAAGGTTTTCCTCCATGCTAAGGAAATAGGTGTACCAATTCGCTTTGTCTCTGTAGAAGAGGCAAAAAGGAGAGAGCCAGATGTACGAGCAGAAGCTGGAATCCTAGAAAGCCCCACGACTGGAATAGTGGATGTTCACTCCCTCATGTCCTATTTACACGGCAACTATGAGGAAAGAGGCGGAGACTGCGTGCTGTTGACAGAGGTTCATAAGATCGAACCTCTAAAAAACGGACGTGGCTATGAGGTTTTTACCAAATCCGGAGAGAGAAAGGATGAAGAGTCATCTTTTACAGCGGAAACGCTTATTAACTGTGCTGGTCACTTTGCTTGTGGAATAAACAACATGGTTTTACCCCCCGAAAGACATCGAACACCACACTTCGCTAAAGGGACGTATTTCTCATACGCAGCTTCGTCACCAAAACCTTCGACGTTGCTATACCCAGCACCTCGGCCCAGTTATGGCGGGCTAGGTACACATCTGACCCTCGACATGGCAGGTCGGGTAAAGTTCGGTCCAGACGTCGAATGGGTGGACAGTGCAGACAATTTGAACCCAAGCCCAAAACGGCTAAAGCAGGCTATTAAGGAAATTCAAGCATACTTACCTAGTGTTAATCCCGATGCGATCGGCCTTGATTACTGCGGTATCAGACCGAAGTTAGTTAGGGGAGGGTCCGTCTCTTCTGGCAAGGATTTCCAAGACTTTGTGATTCAAGAAGAGGAGGGCTTTCCGGGTTTCATAAACTTACTTGGGATTGAGAGCCCCGGGTTGACTAGTTCTTTGGCTATTGCAAAAATGGTAGAGAATCTTTTATATAGATAAATCGTTATCATTTGAGAGTTGTTTAGCCGAATATGGAAGTTTTCATTTTTTTTTTTTTTTTGAGTCCTGCTTGAATGGACTTTGCTTTTCAAAATTTCAATCCCGACCGATCAATAGAGGCTTCGGATAAGTTCAAATACTGTTAAATGTGTTAGCGATATTTTGGTTATCTTGATCAGGGGGCCACTTACATGCTGGCATATTTGGATCCTTTTTATCCTCTTTCAGTGCACGCAACGCAATTGTGTCAGCCTCACTGGGCTTTACGGAAAACTATCGTTTAATCAAATACGTCATTAACATTCGAATGAATATCCATGTTAAAATGCGATATGTGAGAATACCCTACCTCAGACAATGTAGATTTCAGTTCCAGCCCTTCTACCAATTTAGCAATGGCATCTCCCACGGCATTGGCATCCTTTGCATCATCGCCAGAACAAGCATGACCAATGTACGGCAGTATCTTTGCAATCTGATGTGCTTCCTCTGGATTCCTCGCGGCCTTGAAGTGTATAGTTTTAGCTAACGATATACAAGATGTGATGCCGTGTGGAATTGCATATGTAGCCCCTATAACATGACCAATTGTATGACTTAGTCCTATTGCTGCAGTAAAGTAAAACGGAGGTAAGGCAGAATATGCCGCTATTTGTAATTCCTGGCGAATTTTTGGGTTTTCAGGGTCTTTCTTGCATAACGGAAGAAGGCTGAATATCTCGCGGATAGCAGTTCGACATAGTCTTTTTGTAGGCACTTCGGCCGCTTGAGGGTGATACTGGAGCTCGACTGCATGATCAATTGCACGAACCTAAATAGTTATATAATTTAGCTTATGGTAAATTAAGGGGTTTTTCTAGCTTATATTGAGGTACGTACAGCAGAGCTTAGCCATAATCGTGCTGGAGTATGTAGAGTTATTTCGGCATCGTATATGATGGCTAAAGTCATTAGCAGGGGCGTTAACTAGTTGACCAGTTGGTGCTATTGACCATTACGTACCCTTTGGAGCCATTTCAGGGTGGAAAATTCCAACTTTAAGCCCTTCATGATTGGTATATCCTGCTCCCAATGTATTTTCAGCCACACTCAAAGTCGTTGGTAGGGCCACGATTGGCGTCCATTTTTCAGTCTGTTTATGTATGTGATACGCAACGGCCTTTGCGGCATCTATAGGTGATCCTCCCCCGACTGCTACAATGATATTTGCAGCAGACTTGTTCATATGCTGAATCGCGCAGTCAATATCTGCAACGGGCCTATAGTATGTGAGTTAGTTTGACAACCTTCCGCCTATTCAATAACCCATCAACTAGTTGGCGTACACATGTTGGCGGACTCCAGCATACGTACCCGCATGCGAGTCCGCCAGAAGGCTCTCTAGCTCTTTGATAACAGGCGTTTTCTCGTTCAACGACCTTCCGGTGATGATAAATGCTTTAGATCCACCCAACTCGGAAACCACTTTTGGCAGCAAGCTCCGGCTTCCTGGAGTATGTTATTGATACGTTAACAATGCTATTTCTTCATTCCCCATGCCCTGTGGCCGAGGGTGTATAACTTGCCTTGCCCGTAGAGCATATACTTGGCGGGCAGCGTAACGTACGCTCCCCTTAGTTCGCTGTCGATGCCTTGGAATGAAGATGTGAAATCCATCTCTATACAAACATCAAATCGTGTGCAATATAGTCCTTATAATCAGTGTATCGTATTCTGCCTACGTGGGATGTTTCCTTGATGTTGTGATCCATGTAGTGGTGGGATGATGCATGCATGTACCTTTTATACTTATGACGACATCCAGCATTTAAACTCAAACGCAACACCCGAATATTGACGATATTTTTATACGTTGGTTTACCTTATCAAGAGCTTGCATGTGAACCTTTGAAGTACAGAATCTCCATTGATATTGAATGCTCATACCATACTCGAGGAATAAGCCCACACTGTGTCTCAACAAGAGAGAGCAGTAAGTACATGTCTTTGAACTCAACTCAAGCTCTCCAAACTAGAGATGCACGCTGTAAGCCTCCGGAACCAAACTTCGAGAAACGAAAAGATAAGGCAAATGAAGAGGAAAGATGAAAGAGAAGATGAAGCACAGAATGCCCCCCTAGCACCGTAAATAAGATATGAACTTTTTTTGAATTGGCATTTCCTTTCCATTTCCATACTCTCTTTTTCTTCCCCTTCTCGTTGTTTGTTTGTTTGTGTTGGCTGTTCACAATTTGTAAAAGATACCACACAAATGATGCTGTTGGGCTTGCAAGGAACCATAACATGCATGCGTTGCTATCACATTCCACATTCTAACAGGATCAAAAAAAAAAAAAAAAAAAGGGAAAGAGATGAAAGAAATAAAAGAGAAAAAAGGAAAGAGAACTCGGGCAAAAAGGGAATCAAGCAAGTGTTAGAAAGAAAAGATAGACAGATAAACTCCTGGCAAAGGGGGAAGGGGGTGTCATGAGGACGTAAGCGGGCGAAGGCACAACAAGCACTAAGAAAATAGGGGTAATAGAAGGTAAGGGATATCTTTGTTACCAGGAAGGAAAAAAGACGAGATGCGAAATGGAACGTTTCCCGCTTCCAATGTCAAACCTTTGCCAGCTACAACCGAAACTTGGAGAGGGGAGAAGAGAAAAAAATCCGTAACCGTATATGGAGGCTGCGTGGGTAGGATGGCATAAACGCCGTGGGAAGGGGAGAGAGAGAGAGTCGTTCAGCAAAAAAACAAAAGGGGAAATAGAAACAAGAGGAAGAGTATTCGTTAAGACATGCCAAGCCGAGGAAACCAGAATCAAAAATTTCCTCCACAATTAGAAAACCGTTTCAAGCATTATTTAAGACTTAGTCTCTTCCGCAGGCTTGCCAGCCTCTGGCTGTGCAGCCTCACCGGCGGGAGCGTCGTTCTTGTTCTTAACATATTCGTCGTAGACCGTAAGGGCTTCATCAACCTTAGCTCGGAGAGCAGCGTCATCATCAACACTGGGAAGGTAGGTTAGCGATGTTTATGATCAATGAGGAACGTAAAAGAGTGCACTTACAGGCCAATCAACTCTGAGTTGTCCATCTCCAGAAGCATACCAGTGATCTTTCCGGCAAGCTCAGGCTGTTGTGCAAGAATCTTAGGGTAGATGGCTTCACCGAGCATCTGTTTCTGTTGGGGTTCGGGAGCGGCGTTGAAAACCTGGAGGTTGATTGAGCCGGGGCCGGCTGCTTCATCGCGTGGCATACCACCTTGTCCAGGTGCACCTTGACCGCGGCCGCCAGGGCCTGGTCGGCCACCCTGCTGCATAGGCATGTTACGGCCCTGAGAGTAGCCTGGGCCGCCAGGTCCGCCTCGCATTGGTGGGGCGTTTCCGGCAGCTGGTGGCATACCTTGCATTGGACCCTGGCCACGACCGCCGCCACGACCGAACGACTGGCCCATCTGTGGGTAATTTAGACCATTTGGAATTCCAGCACCCTGCATGGCGCCCATTGGAATGCCTTGGCCACCCATGGCGAAGTTAGGAGGAAGTGGCTGGTTGGGGTTCATGCCACGGCCGCCCTGCTGTCCGGGGAACTGGGCGAACTGGCCAGGACGACCACCTGGCATTCCTGGCATCACCATACCAGCTTGACCAGCAAACTGCATTCCACGCTGAGCACCAGGGAGGAAGCCCTGCTGGCCAGGAGCACCATAGAAGACGGCGGGCTGCATGAACTATCTTCGGTATTAGTAAGAGCTCGGAGTTAATGTATATAGATAGTCCGGAAGGCACTCACAGGTTGAGCCATTCCAGCAGCAGCAGCAACCTGCTGTTGGCGGATGGTGTTTCTAGCTTGGATACTAGCTTCGAGCTGGCGGGTATATTAGTATATTGATATCTCTGAAAAATGCATCGTGTTGATGTCTCTTACCTGGCTCTTGCGAACGTCCTTGCGTTGGGCCAAAGCAACGTAGAGTGGCTTACCATGAACCATGCGCTGGTTCATCTCGGTAACGGCCTTGGAGGCTTCATCTGGGTTGCTGAAACAAACGAAACCGAAACCCTTACTCTTCCCGAGATGTTTCTTCTCAGTCTTGGCACCATCGGTCTTTCCCTCAGTCTTCTCTTCGGATTTCGATTTGTCTTCGGACTTCTCATCAGACTTAGTCTCAGCCTTATCTTCAGGCTTGTCTCCGGTCTCCTTCTTGGCCTTCTCCTTATCGGCTTCCTTGTCCTTCTCGGCGTCAGCGGGAACATCGGAAATGGCCTCACGCATGACCTTGGCGGAAGTGATGTTGCCATAGCTGCTGAAGAGCTCACGAAGCTTCTCATCATCGATATCGTCGGACAAGTTCTTGATGTAGAGGTTGACACCCTGGTACTTAGAAGCCTTCTCAATGCGAGCAGCTTCGTACTGCTTTCGGAGCTCTTCTTCACGCTCGTGCTTCTTCTGGGCACGGCCGACGTAGAGCTTCTGGCCCTTGAGCTCGTACTCATTCAAACCCTCGACGGCAGCGGAGGCGGCCTCGTGGTCAGAGAAGTTGACGAATCCGAATCCGCGGCTCTTACCGGTCTCGTTGTCACGGCTGAGGGTTGCAGAGGTGATTTCACCGTATTTCTCGAAGAGACTACGGAACTCCTCATCGGTGACATCCTGCTCAACGTTCTTGACATAGATGTTGGTGAAGTTGGCCTTCATCTCCTCAAACTTGCTCTGGCGGTCCTTCTTGGCGATGTGGTGTCCAACAAAGACTTTCTTTTCGTTCAACAACATACCATTAACGTGTTTGATGGCATTGGTAGCAGCCTCTGCAGTTTCATAATGGACGAATCCGTATCCCTTGGAGTTACCGTATTCATCCTGGGCAACCTTGCAAGAAAGGATGTTTCCGAAAGCAGCGAAGGTGTCGTGAAGGGCCTTGTTATCAATGGCAGTATCAAGGTTCTTGATGAAGACGTTGCCCTGACCAGTTTTGCGGAGAGCAGGATCACGCTGAGACCACATAATGCGGCATGGACGGCCCTTGATCAGGGTGTAGTTGAGGTCCTCGAGGGCACGCTCTCCGTCAGCGGTGTTGTTGTAGTTCACGTAGGCGTAGCCGAGAGAACGTCTGGTAACAGCGTCGCGGCAGACACGAATCGACGCGACCTGTCCGATGGAGGAGAAGAGCTCGTAGAGCATAGCCTCGGTGACGGAAGGGTCCAGCTCTCCGACGTACAACGAAGCAGAGTGAGGCTGTGAGGTCGCCGGGGCCGTGGTGCCAGAGGACTCTCCGGCAGCTTCTGGAGCGGCCTCAGTGCTAGGAGCTGCGGCGGCAGCAGTGCCGTTGGCAGGGGCCTCAGTAGGCGCCTCAACCTGGTCCACGGGGACGTTGGTGGCGGTCTCTGGAGCAGACATATTTTCTAATGTTTTTCCGAGTTTTTTTGTGATTTTTTGGTTTGGATTGTTGGTCGCTTGGAAATCTTTTGGTATCGTCGATCGAGCAAAAAAGTTAGCATAAGCCAGGTCAAGAAGCTCGAAAAAAAGAGGGGCACCGCAACGAATTCTCTTCAAAGGGTATACAGCGCGTGGATCGAGCAGACGGGGCAGAAGTGACGCGAGGCAGATATCCTGCAGGCGAAACGGAAGGCGAGATGAGAGAAAGGTGAAGGCAGGGAGAGTAGGAGAAGTGAAAGCTGCTGGGGTAAGTAAGTGTGCGGTGTGCGGGTTTCCAACCACCACAAACAACCCACAACCACCACCACCACCAACCTCCGGCGTCTCTCTTCTTCTCCTCCTCGAATGACTCTTGTTTTCAATGGCGAGGCAGCAGTCGGCGCAGGTAAACGTAGGATCTGACGGCTTCTCGCGTGCTGGCAAAGGCGGGCGACGGGCTTGACGTGGGATAGTGAAGACGGGACAGGGACTCACCAGGCGAACCTCGAAGAGGTTGATGCTTGATATCTTTCAGGCTTTACGAGTAGTTTTCTGGTAGGGGAAGGGGCAGAGGGAAGGAAACACTCGGGAGTGTTTCTAACGGACGGATAGATCACAGCCTGAGGAAGCACAAGAAGTGGTTTGGTTGTTGCAAGTTGGTTGTCTTTTTTTTTTTTTTGGTATCTTTTGATGTGCGAAAGAAGAGGAAGAAGCAGAAAAAGTTAAAAAAAAGTCGACCTTTTTTTTTTTTTCTTTCGGTGTGAAAAAAGCTTGAAATGACTAAGATATCACTAAGCAAGTCATTCAAGATCTGGATCTTCATTGGACGATGATGATGCTCTTGACTACGACTGATAATTAGACAGAGTGAAGCATAAGGTCTATAAGTAGTGATGCTGGCTGTAAATACAGTTCTCCGCAGCCATGTCAACGTCACAGACTCCAGGAAATGCAGTTTAGAGATCCGCTGTCAATGACATCATGACAGAAGGATGGGAATAGCAAGTTAGTAAAACAGTTAACTAAGGTCAAAGCCGGCCCCCGAGTTCACTGCATACATCAGCTTCTCCCGCAGCGTATCTGCATTTGTATACCGCGGCAGCTTCAGTAGGTTGGCACAGGTACTGGCACTGGGCAGACGTTCTTCATCAGAGCTCGAGTCCCGGATGCTGAATCGGGGGTTTAGGTGGCTAAAGCCCAGCAGCGGAGCGCGCGGCGTTGAGGTCACGAACTTCAGCACCTTTTGTCTGTCTTTGTTGGGCATTGCTTCGAGAACTTCCCAGAAGAGCTTGATGGTTGGGTGGTCCTGCTGGTCATCACCCAGGACATAGACGCCGCTGTATACCGTGTTACGGCGAAGGTCGTTGACGTCAATCTCGATTGCGTCTCCGCCAACAAGGCGCTGCAGTTCGCCTTGGTTGAACATGGATAGCCATGACGGTTGGATGATTTGGCCGAGACCCTGAAGGAAGGCATTCGTTTGGAGGTAAGGTTGCAGTTGGAGTCGATGGCGGGCGATGTACGAGATGTACACCAGTCTATTTTGGTTGGTAACAGGAATATTAGAACCTCCTGGTTTTAGTTCGCGGGTAATGGTTTGTGTCTTCTCTTTGCCTTTCTCATCCGGCACTGAGACTGTGTCTGTTACGGTGAAATTCAGAGCAAAGTCTTCCACGTTTCCGGGATAATTCTTGAGTTGCAGCTATTGCAAGGTTAGCTGATAGAGTCATAGCGATGAAGGACAACACTCACCAATCCTTGGTACAGGCTCTTGTCCAGGTCCTGAACGTCGTTTAGATTTGCTCGATAGGCAGACTCCCTTGATGCAGAGCCGGTGCCTCCAGTAAGAGCCCATTTCAGCAGGAAGAAGTTGGCGAAACTGACATCCACAAGAATACCCTCGTAAAGGCATTTCCCGATAATACGTCCCAGGAACTCATACCGCTTTAACAGTTCTCGAATATGTTCGTTCCATTCTGTACTTCGTTCAATAATCCCGGCTTCATGCAGCTGTGCCTTTTGTTGTTCAACAGATGTTGGATTTGGATAAAGGAGATGCTCGTCGTTCTCCGTAAACATGCTCAAGGTTCCAGAAGGGTTAAACGCATCATTTATAATGCTCATAAGGAACTCTTTGGTGACGCCGCCACCATCAATGCCAGCCTCCACGGTGTCAAACCGGTCAATAAATGTAATCTGAATAGGTTCCTTGAATGCCTCCCCGAGCGGATAGAATTGTTCAAAGGCATCTTCAAAAAGGTTATCTCTTCGTATATCCGCATGGTGTTTACTTAGGATGTCTCGTGCCATGGCTATTCCTTCTTCTGTGATACCTGAAGCACCCTGAGCGATAGATAGTCTCCATGCATCCGGGTCCACGTATCCTTTTCTCCTCCGTACTTGGTCTCTGTATATAAACTCTCGGAAGATCTGAACTCTGGTCGTAAAGGGTATAGAAAAGGGCATATTTCGAAGGATTTCCAGGCGAGGAGCCACGGCTTCAAGCTCCTTTCGCCGAGATGTTTGTTGCTGCCGTCTTCTTAGTATTTCCATTCGACGGATGTTCTGCTCCCTGCTGGTTCCAACAAGTCCTAGTGACGATTGAAGAGCCTCTTCGATACCCTCGTCTTCCGGTTCACTCTCATCATCTTCATCTTGGAGTTGATGTCTCTTTTCCTCCTCTGCAACCACGGTGGGAATAAATCCTACCATATCAAACCGGTCAGTCATGAGCCAGTGGCTATCGGGTAGGAACCTACGTCGCGAGCTGTAATCTCCGTTAGTTCATGACCGTTTGAAACACAGATAGTGAAAAAGTAGTCTTACTCTCGCTCATGTATCATTCGTAAAAGCCCCGTTACCAGCCCCTTAAAATAATGTAGAGGTATTCCAGTCGCACTCCCAAGGTTTTTACTTTGAGGCTTTCGTGCAACTGTTTGGTTCGGCTCGCGGGGCCCAGATACATTGAAGTATTCTCGCATTTCAAACGCCTTTTCGGCGGTCTCGACGGCACTCAGTTCAGATGAATTCCAGTAAAGAGTAAACGCAAGGTTTTTTAAAAATACCGTCAATTCTTTGACGTCGTCTAGGGCAAGGGCACTCTCCTTCGTCCAGGAGGTGTATTTGTTGTCATTAGCCCCAGAAAAGAATTCATCGTCATCTAGAACTTTTAGAAGAAAGGTATAAAGCTCTAGAAATATAAGTATAACGGTCCACTGTTGCTCCTGATCACTCCACTGTCGCTGGGTCTCTTCATTCTCCCCACGAGTGGGGGGCAAAAGCATCTCTAGGATACCATTGGCATTATGTGATACGGTGAAATAAACCCTCGTTGTCCTCGAGGCTTGCCAAAAGTATTTGATAGCAGGCAGTTTGGATGCACTTGACTGTGAGTTCTCGTGCGTTGATGCTGAGCCAAGATATAACCACATACGGATTTCATCTCCTCGTTTAGGAAATATTCTTAATAGAGTCAAAGCGTACGTTGCAAGGCTTTTTGCATCGTCTTCGCTGGTCTGCTGTATGTCATTTTCTGCTGCCTGCCCTTTGCCAGCTATTGATAAGAGGTGCGTAATGCTGTTTTGGTTAACAAGTGTCAAAATCTCAGTCTTGACAAAAAATGGTAGTGGTTTCGGCTCTTGGATAGACTGGCCGTCTCCAAATTCATCCGGATCAAGCCTCTGTGAGATGTATGTTGCCGCAGAACCCAGAAGCATAGAGACAACCTTGACAAATAGCACCTCCGGTGTCTGGTTTAAAGCCTGCTCCCCTAGCGCATGCCTGTGAAAGTAGATAAAATACGCCAGAAGCCAGGTTCGAGGCTCAACTTGCTCTGCGTGGAGGAAGGATTGGGATGACAGAAGGTTGGTGCTTATGACAGATGCCAAAAGCTTATAGTTAACCTGAGCTGCTATGTCACTGATAGTCCCCAGATGATCCTGAAGGCAAGGAAGTGTAAGATATGTCCTGGCAAACCACTCGTATACAGCCAGCGTTTCCGAGGTAATCGGCTGTAACAGAGCAAGGACCGCTTCCACAAGTCTGTCTCTAGATAAGCTCACAGTCCTTTGACTAGAAGAGAGCTTTAGGCGTGTAGTGAGCTTCGCCATGACATCATAGTACTTGCGCGCCTGACGCGCCATCTGCTTCGGTATCAGCCTCGTAAGAAAGACCAGAAGCTGCAGAAGGTCATCTATCGAGAAGGATATCGAGCTGATACGGCTAGAGGCCTTGAGGATATCCAGCGTTGCCACCATCAAACGGGAGAGTATGGTTGTCCATTCTCCCTTTGTTGACAGCGATGTGCTCTCGACAGTTCGTTGAAGGCATTTAGAAAAGTACACCAGTCTCACAGCATCCTCCTGGCTAGTAGTCTGGATAAACTGTAGGAGAAGCTGTAGTTGCTTAGCACACTCCAAGCTGCTTGAATATGCACTGCCTTGCTGTTCAGCAGCTGTGTGGTATCCGACTCCTCGAGCCTTCTCATAGTCATCCCAATCTTTGCGCCATATACTCCAAGTTGTCTTTCTGCTCTTATATCCCCGCCATGTTCTCTGAATTGTCCGGCTCGAAGTTAGTCGTTCTCGTTCTAGCTGGCGCTGCGCTCTCTCCTGCTGTGCAATAGCGAGTGTTGCCTGGGGACCATGGCCCGAGGGGGGCTGACGCTTCACAGGAGTGCCGGAAAAGGGGTTTGTAGAGCGGGTTGAGAGGTTGACCTGTCGAGGCCGACGAGTATTGCCTGTGAAAGAGGTAAACATAGCGAACAGTGCCTGGTAGATGGCAGTCGAGTATGTTGTTATTGCTTGCCTATTTGCTCCGGTCAGGAGAAAGCATCGTGTGGTGGGAACCCAGCAGTGATGAGCTGCCCAAAGAAACTAGCCTGGGATGACGACAAGCAAAGCCTTTGAGGTTGTCCACGAATATCTGTATAGCGCGCGTAACAGTCAAACCATGGTTACTCCTTACACTGTCTCCCTATTTCCCGTCTTGCATGTCGCCTCGAAGATCTGTAGTTGTACCTGCGATCGGTAGCTAACAACTCGGCCTCGCTGATGTTCCGGCTGAAGCGTTCAAGGTCCCGCAGGTTGCCACAGCAAGGGTCATATTTTTGATTATTAACGCTGAGCTGCTGCCTTCACAGAGTTATCTAGAGACTTCCACCTAGTATGAATGCTTAAAGAGAGCATATTTTTAGTAGAAAAGACATGATTATGCCCATATGTTTATCATATCAGAATCCTGTATATATAACCGCGTGCACCGCTTTGATCATACAAGCTAACAAAACGCCATGAAAACAAGAAATCCCATAAACTCCAAGTATAGTGCCCCATCACCTATCCAGCTAGGGGGTTTTGCCGGAAGATACATGTAGTGTACAATGCCCAAGTTTTGTGAAGTTGTACTGGTCATCCGTGTTCTTTGAAGTCCAGAGCTCAGAATGGAGTATTATTTCTGCGCAGAACAAATAGGGCCAGTCGATAAAAATGTTGAAAATTATTGTTTCTCGTCCTTGGTCGCTTGTGTCTCGGCGGACTGCTGTTCCGCACTGATTTCCTCCTGGCGCAATCTCAACTCGTCAACTTCTGCCTCGTTCTCCTCGGCCCACTCCTTTAAGAAATCCTTGCCAGTATATCCTCGTGGATAAGTTGCTTCTTTGTGGCCGTGATCAATCGTCTTCGTGTATAGTGTCCTCGTCGGTTCCATTCGTTTCGTAACAAAGGGTGTAAGCTAATTAGGGTCAGCCTCCTGTAATGCTTATCCATTGGAGAATATATGCTGACCTTGAACTCCGCAAGCCCTTCGGGTACAACATAGGTGCGGACTTTCTCCCACTCTATAATGTATGTTCCCTTCTTGCGACCAAAATGTCCCATTGAGCCTGTTCGGTTACCCTTGTAGTAACCGGGACCAACTTGCTTTGTGGTCAATCGCAGGCGAGCCTGCATGCACTGTGTAGGTCTGAACATGGCTAGTCGAAAGAGGCCTTCGATGTGCACCAAATACTAAAACACCCGATCTTGCGTCCTCGTTGTCAATTGTCGAACCGTTCTTTTCGAGTGTCGGCCTGAAAGCATTTTTTTCCTTTGCGCGGAAAGCTTGAGCCAATAAGCGCGCGGCTGTTTAGACGCTTAAATAGTTAACAAAAAGTGCCGCGGACCCACTTTAAAAATGCTGATAGAAAAAAAAATGATTCCGATAAGTTGATCGGTTTGTTGTAGCTGCGGTTGAAGTTCATTTCTCGTTGAGCTATTCCTTTTGCAACAATGTCAGGAAGAAAGTCAAATATCCTCAAACCCCAAGAAAAGCGGTCAAAACCTGCAACGAAAAGGCGACCGAAAAATAACTTAAATGCGCTTGCTACAGCAGAGAAACAATATCCCACAAAGGCAAAAATCCGAAGACATCGACTTGGTGACAATGAGCTTAGCCAGTCCACTCGAAAGCGCGCTATGGACGACGACGATGAGGGGGATGATGAAGATACCGGCCGGTCAAAACGCCCACGGCGAGTTCAAGATGGATCGGACGATGATGGGGGTAGCGACAGTGAGGGCAACGAATGGAGGATAGGAGCCGTTAATAGCGACGATGATAGCGATATCGACAGTGATGAGGCTATGGGCGAGAGTGATGAGGAAAAATTTGAAGGGTTTACGTTCCGCGGTAGCTCCACAATGCGGAAAAAAGGCCCTGGCAAACAAGCTGCCCAAGCTCAAAAGCGCAAAGCTGAAGCTGACCAATTTGAGGGAAGCGATGATGATTTGCTAAACGAGGAATTCAATGGTGCATCTGATGAAGGGGTAGAGGAAGAAGACGATGACTTTGGAGATGATGCGGTAGACCTTGCGACTGCATGGGACATGAACGAGGAAGACTCCGAGGCTGAGGTGTCGAAAAAAACCTCAAAAGAAAAAAAATCGAAGGCTGGCTCTATTTCTGAAGACGATGACGACGCCGGCTCTTTATCCGCCGTATCAAATGACGAGGAAGAAAGTGATGATGATGATGCGGAGTCTGATACTTCTGAGCTGTCGATATCTGATAATGAGGGAGAAACAAAACAAGGCCTCACAAAGCTCCAAAGATTTGTTACCTCGTTGGGACAAGATGCCAGATCTGCTACCTCTACAAGGCCCAAGACCGCCCTCCCAGGAGGAGACCCTACCGAATTTGGATTGGCCCCGAGCCGAAAGCTTACTGTGGCTGATTTGATGCCCAGCATATCAGATTCCCGCATGAAGGGTGCACTGAAGCATATCGAAAACGACTCTTCTACACAAGGAACCGCAGGCATCCCTGGGAAACTAGACGTCCCTCTCCCAAAACGACAACAGGATAGGCTAGATCGAGCAGCAGCGTACGATAAAAGCAAGGAGACCCTTGCTAGATGGATAGAGACTGTGAAGGCTAATAGACGGGCTGAACATCTTTCCTTTCCTCTCCCTGAACCAGATGCTCCACAACCCTCTAAGGTCGTGGACTCTAAGCCTAGAACCAACCTCGAGACAGCGATTCAAAACATATTAGTGGAGAGCGGTTTGGCTGAATCAAAAAACGGAACTGCAGAGGATAAGATACAAGGATTCGAGGAACTCCAAGCAAAAAAGATTTCCGTTGAAGAGATTCAAGCTCGCCGGGCAGAGCTCCGGAAGCAACGAGACCTACTTTTCCGTGAAGAAATTCGAGCAAAACGAATTAAGAAGATTAAGAGCAAGGCGTACCGCCGTGTTCACCGGAAGGAGAGGGAGAAATTGGAGAAGATGGAACATGAGGCACTGGCAGCTGCTGGGGTAGACATGGATGAAGAAGATCGAGAGCGTAACGATAGGATACGCGCCGAGGCAAGAATGGGCTCAAAACACAAGGACAGCAAATGGGCCAAGAGCCTTAAACAGACGGGCCGAACGGCATGGGACGAAGAGGCTAGAACAGAAATGGCGGATTTAGCAAGGAGGGAGGAAGAGCTGCAGAAGCGAATCCAAGGGAAACGCATCGTTGATGAAGATGGCGAATATTTGTCATCGAGCTCTGAAGACGAGGACGACAGCGACTCGGATATGCAAGGGTTCAAGCTTAGGGAAAAGGTGGACAAACTTGAGAGGGATGGAAACGGCTCCTCCAAAGATTCTGGCCCGTACTCTGGGCTATTATCCATGAAGTTTATGCAGAATGCCGATGCAGCACGGAAGGAAGCGAATGAGCGTGAGCTTCGAGAGGTTAAACGCCAACTCAATGGCGAAGAATCCGGTTCAGAACAGGAAGATTTGCAGGAAGAGGTTGGCCGCCGAAAGTTTGGTACACAGGCCACAAAGTCATCTAATAAGCCTTCCGTAAACCTACCAAAGAAAGGTGATGAAGAAGGTCATGGTGAGAACGAAGGGGCTGAAGATTCGTCTGGCTCGGACTCCGATATTGATATTCGTGTTACGTCTAGCCGCAGGCAACAGCCCAAAGCGGCTCCGAAGAAGATTGCTCGCCACAGCTTAGAAGAGGCTAAACAACAGTCTACGGAGGACGATGAGAACCCTTGGCTAACAGAAACCTCCAAGAAGAACCGATCAAAGAAGAAAACAGTTGGCACTGCAGCAGATGTTAGCCTAATCGAGAATTCTGGCTCGACTATCTCTCAGGAACCCAATCAGACCGGCCTTAGACAGAAACATCAGAATGGCCCAAAGCAAGCTGCAATGGGCAATCAGCCCGCCGATGACGACGAGCGGTCCGACGATGAGGACAACGCGGGCATGCCTGTACTTCTTAAAAACGAAGAGTTGATCAGACGAGCATTCGCTGGGGACGAAGTGCTGGAAACCTTTCGCAAGGAGAAAAAGCAAACTGTCGAAGAGGAGGACGACAAGGTGGTTGAAGATACACTGCCTGGATGGGGAAGCTGGGCTGGAGCTGGGCTGAGCCGATCAGACAAGAAGCGAGTTCAGCGAACATTCACCACGGTTAGGGGAATCAGCGCAGAGAAGCGGAAGGATGCAAAACTCGACCGGGTTATCATCAATGAGAAGCAGGTGAAAAAGGTAAGAAATTCCGTTGGTTGTTGCCCTTTTTGACTCGCCCCCTGCTCAAATATTAGCAAATCCTGACTCGTTCTTCTTGCACACAGAACAATAAGTATCTCGCATCCCAGTTGCCGCACCCTTTCGAGTCCAAGCAGCAGTACGAGAGGTCTCTGCGGCTGCCTATTGGCCCCGAATGGACGACCAAATCGACCTTCCAAACCGCGACCAAGCCTCGCGTGATGATTAAACAGGGGGTTATCAAGCCAATCCAGCGTCCTACATTGTAGATTATCACAGCCTTCATCGTGTACTTACTCAGCCTTCCGGGGACAAGCAAGAGATCTATCTCATCTTGTTCCCGCTTCCTACGCATTCTTCAGCGTGTCACGACCCATAGAGAAAAAAATAATGAATATCGGCGATGTTCTGCCACTTTGTCCTGTCTCGTCGTTAACCACGACCTGCATCCTGCATTATGCAAGCAAGCAGCACCCCAGCATATAGATCTTCCGCGTGGGGGTTTCATATTACAACAACAGCCTGAGAGAAGAAGAAGAAGAAGGGAAGAGAAGGGAAGAGAGACACAGCATCTATCCGTAACACCGTGCCCAGAGCTCACCGCAGCCAGAAAGGAGAAAGTAGTACCGGAGACACGGGTCCTCGCAACGCCTGCCAGCGAACGTCATCTCACCGTCAACACCTGCTCGACCGTCACTCTCTTTCGAGGGAGAGAAGTGTGTGTGAACACACCCGCTGCTCGTCCTTGCATCCAACAGGCGCTCGTCTGTGTAACCCTTCCAACACTCTGCCGGGGCAGCTGCGGCGTTGAAGTCCAACTCGATGACTCTATCAGCTGATGATGACTGCGGCTTCACAGTTACATGTTACAGATCTGCCGTGAAGAGGACAACATGATGAATGATGAAGAGGTTGCCACCCCTCGAGATCGAGCACCAGCGTATGGTCGTGTCGATCCGCTTTCTCCGTCTTTCTTTTTCTCTTAGTCCGTTGACTAGTTGCCATGTTGACGGAGGCCATTTTGGCTAGCGGTCACTAACTAGTTACCCGAGGTCGTTGACCAGTTCCCAGGATTTCAAAGTCGACCAGCCTGTGGCTTGGGAGTTACATAGTGACATGTCCGAAAGTACCTGATCATGTTCTAACAACCACTGTGCAGTTGCGAGCAGCCGCCATGATATACTCGGGCTCAAGACGACCGTCAGGGCACACGATGCATCTCTTATGGGAGAGTTACCGGATGACATTCCACCCGTCGTGTGTCCCGTCTATCAAATGCGGCCCTTATCGTACGTTGGCCTCTGGTGTGGGGGCCATTAACTTCTTAACTACCTAGTTGGCTCGTTATCAAAAGCCGCCCAACTTAACAACAACAACGGCGACGATGGCAGCGACAACAACAACAATAACACGACCTGCTAGTCAACAATGTGATTAAGATAAGCAGTCTACCAAGCCTACCGACACACCGAGCGAGACCGAGATCCATGCATTGCCAGTAGATTTAGCCGCAGCACGAGAGGGCGTGTTGAAAGTTACTCGGTACCATATCAACCGCAGCCCCAGGTATCACAAGGCTTGCATCCAACTTACTTTAGCTCCCGCAGGTGCAAGGGAGAGACGCAAGGAAAAGCAAAAGAGAACCAGACGGCGAGACGGCTCTTCTTTGCCTGGGAAGAACGAGCCGACCATCAGCCCCCTTGCGGCTTCCCGGTTTCCCGTTGATCCGCCACATTTTTTTTTGGACGACACAGAATAAAATGGTCATCTGTGGGCTGATATAACTATAGAGAAGTGCTTCCTGTAAGGCATCCTTTTCTTCTTTTCTCTTCTCATGCCCATTGCTTCTAGTTCATACTCGGAGGTCACAATCTGATATCTGCGTCTGCCACGTTTTATCTTTTTTATATCCCATACTAAAATAAGTCTAACAAGTGGAAATAGGTAAGTAAAAATGCCCGGACAACCCACCCGAGTAGTCACTGCATGTCATGTCCGCCCCATGCTTTGCATATACCAAGCTCATATGGGCCGCTTTCCTCTTCTTCATGCGCTACTGTCGCTCCACTCCCAAATGGCCGTCTTTGTTCCTTATCACCCGAACGTCTGACTTGCTGCCCGATGTCATTCTTCCATCTCCATGCCCTCAACACACCATTATCACCTCCCTTCTTTCTTCCCACACTTCCGCCTGACACTATACTCTAATACCCTTTCTCCCCATTTTCCACCTGTTCCAATGAAACACCAGAAGAGTCTCTCCCACAATGTCCGCATGGCTCGTGTGCGTCTTATTTTCCACGCGCGGTCTACAAGTGCGTTGTGGGGAGGTCATCTAGGGGGGTTGTATCTTCCCGTCTTTGGCCAGATGGACGGATTACTCCATCTATCCGTCGGCAGCAGACTTGTTGATCGCGATCTTGATGGAGTTTCTGCTCAGGGCCTCTTCAAGATGCGGTTATATATCAAGGAGCAAGGCTACGCTGTCTTGCTCTATTGTTTTCGTGCTTGTGGCTGCATCCATCATTCCCTTGATCATTAAACCCCCCCTCCCATTCGGTGTCGAAAACACCGTTGCAACTTCTGTTTTGCATTGCGACAGTGTCCCTTTTTTTTTTCATCTTTTATCCCTGGTTTTTGATTACACCACACGATGAAACCGCATACTACACTGCCAGGGGTGGCAGTACTGGTGTCTCTGTTCGCTCAGAGTGCACATGCAGCCCCATTTCCTTCTAGAACTAATGTAGTTCGTAATGAACAGGATACTGCTGCAAAGCCACTGCCCATCGTATATAAGAACGAGCGAGGATTGAGTAACGAGGTAAGCTATCACCAGTTTTTGACTATCCAATCTCCGTTTTTATCACTAAGATTTTTTGGCCCTCAGCATCAATACTCGCCGCCTGATCCTCAAGGACATCCTACCGTTTTCCCTTTTCCTACTGATATCTCTTACTTGACCTTCTATGATCGGCCTGGTGCTACTCACCCTCCGTATCCTCATCTAGATATCAGTAAGGCGGGCTTTAAGACAGAACAGTCCAGTTGCTGGTATCACAACAAGCCTTGTGAAGGAATACCACATATCCCCATTCCAAAAGGATTTGACTCCTTGGAGAAGAGATCTCCAGCTTCGCACCGATATCCTCCAGCGCCTATCAAAGCGAGGGAGTTCGCAAACTCTACGAGCGCCTCTAACTCAGGACCAAACACTTCTACTGTTTCGGCAACTCCCTGCCCGTCTAACTCACCTCCGTCAACAATGGCCGGCCAGGACATCTTCCAACCAATTGCGAAGGATCCCATTCCCGCGAGTATCAAGTCAAGAGGTGATCATCCAGTCAAGACCAACCACATTGTAAGTTACCTACATATCTCAAGAGCTTATATTTTTATTTCAGCAATTAACTAAAATATTTCAAGGAACAATCCTCTGGTCCAATTTCCACCAACAAATTTTACGCAAATTTCTTCCTTGGTAACCAGACCTCTAGTACTTTTACCCATCCATACAGTATGATTTGGGCAAAGGGAGACCAGAACACTTCCAGCTTCGGCATGGCTATCTCCCATGTTGAGCCATCTCAAAGAGCCACTGGAGAGCCTAACAGCAAACTGCCGGGAGACCCCGCCAGATATTATATCAACCCTATTGGCATCAAATCTTTTGTTCTCTCAGCCTCTGAACTCAAGGAATCAACCACCATGTCTGTGGCCAAGCCCAAAGCTTTCTCCGCGCAGGTCATCCTTCGTCCAAAGGGGGGAGCCAGCGAAAGTATCACTTTCCCCTTAGTCCAGGGTATGGGTTTCATCACTGCTATATACAACAACTTGAAGCCCACCATTCAGTCCGGTGTCCTCTTCCGAAAAGTTGAACCAGCTGGGTCCCCCCAGGGCGGTATCTTTAAGTACAAGGTCACTTTGGAAGACGACAAGCAATGGCTACTCTATGTTACCCCCGAAAACGGTTCTGACCCCAAGTTGAAGCTCGAGAACAACAAGCTCATCAGTGGACCTACGGGCTTCAAGGGCGTCATCCAGGTAGCTAAAAACCCCTCTAGCCAGGAAGGTGAGGCCGTCTACGACAAGTCTGCAGGATCCTATGCAACCAACATTAAAATTTCCGGCTCTGTCGCCTCTGATGGAACTGGAACCTACAAGTTTTCCTTTGAAAAAGCAGGAAAGGGTGCTCCCCTTGTCATGTACGCTCTTCCACACCACGTCGAGTCTTTTGATGATGGAACCAAGAAAACCAAGAAGAATATGAAGCTTAGCACTACCACCAAGGGCATGGCCACAGCTTGTGTTGGTGATTCATGGACGATGGTAGAGAGAAATCTCCCTCTCACGATGGACTTTGCACCATGGAAGCCTGGCGTAGGCTCACAGGCTGCCCTTTCCGAAGGTGCAAAGAGTGCTATCAGAGCTGTTGCCGGAAACGAGCTGTCACAGGACATGGAACCGCAGACAAACCTGAACAGCATGTATTTTAGCGGTAAGGGACTGAACAAGTTCGCTGGCGCTATCTACACTGTTCATGAGCTTGTGGGTGACAAAGCCACCGCTGCGGGTCCCCTAAACAGCTTGAAGGAGTCTTTTAAGCGTTTCGTCGAGAATAAGCAGCAGATCCCCCTGGTTTATGACACCGTATGGAAGGGAGTTGTCTCCTCCGGTACTTATGAGAAGGGTGATCCAGGTCTCGACTTTGGAAACACCCTTTACAATGACCACCACTTCCACTATGGCTACTTCATCCTTGCTGCTTCAATCATTGGAAAAATGGACCCTGCCTGGCTTAACGCTAACAAGGCATATGTTAACATGCTTGTCCGAGATTCTGGAAATTCTGTCGAGAATGATGAGCTTTTCCCCTTCTCTCGTGCCTTTGACTGGTACCACGGCCACTCCTGGGCTAAGGGTCTCTTCGAATCTGCCGATGGTAAAGATCAGGAATCCACTTCCGAGGATACCATGTATGCATACGCCATCAAGATGTGGGGAAAGACTAGCGGCGATAAGAGCATGGAGGCTCGAGGAAACCTGATGCTTGGAATCCTTGCGAGAAGCTTGAACAATTACTTCTTGATGAAGAGCGACAATGTCAACCAGCCCAAGAACTTCATTGGCAACAAGGTTACCGGAATCGTAAGTCCTCACCATGCCCTCACGAAATACTCAACTGTAAATACTGACTCTGGATGTTCCCTCTAGCTGTTCGAGAATAAGATTGATCACACCACCTACTTCGGAGCAAACCTCGAATACATTCAAGGGTAGGTCGGCTTATTTTAGCTCTTTTGAGGTGTTATCACAATCGTTAACCTTTTATAATAGCATTGCTTCCGCTTTGCCAAATCTGCCAAATTCTGCCTATACTCGAAGTGCAAAGTTCGTTAAAGAAGAGTGGGACGCTATATTTGCTTCCCGGGCAGCCGTCCCCGCCGAGAAAGTCACGGGAGGCTGGAAGGGTGTCCTTTATGCCAATTTGGCCATCATCGACCCCCAAGCTTCCTGGAAATACTTTGCCCAACCCAGCTTGGATCTCGCTTCGATTGACGGCGGTGCCAGTCGCATCTGGTATCTCGCATATGCTGCCGGCAAGTCTCCTACCTAACATTATTCCATGGTACAACTTCTAATCATATAATTTACTACAGGTCTCGGAGGTGGACCAAAGTGAGAGTCCCATTGAAGATACGATTTTCTTTTTCAATACTGCTGTGCAGGCAATCGTACTTGCTACCAGACAGTTTTTATGCTAGATTTACGAGGTTAGAGCTGCACCCAGGTGTTCAGCCGGTCCTGATATACCCACAGTATATTCCTTGTTGTTTTTCTACTATGACTCTGAGGCAAGGTGTTAACTACCTCAAGATCCTTTCTTTCTTGCACATTTATCTCTGTTCTCATACTTTCGTTAAAAAGAACATACTACTCCGTACATGATGACAATATGAATGACATGATATATCTCTCAATTAAATATGCCTTGATGTTTTGTGCACTATGTTCGGTGTTATGTTTAGGAGGCTCGCAGTTCATTACCTACTATGAAATACTTACGCTTCATAACAAGAGAAATGGTGATAAAGTATGTAACTTTCGCTGCATAAGCCCGGATGACTATGGCATGTGGGCAGAGGGGAAAGTAGTCCCGTGCAGCGACGGCTTGATTCTTAGCCAGGATATCCATATCATCTGCCACTGCCATAACTGCAGCTAAGTCCAGAAAGTTACATAGTTCAGAAAAATAATGATCATAAAAGCGTGGCCCTGCCATAGCTGCATATCTTCATTCTAGTATCGGTAATTTGAACAAATTTGCATGCCCTTCATAGCTCGTGAGCGCACATCTCCAATGGGCAATCCTGAACAGTGCGAGCCGTGCGCATAAAAAGGGAGAAGTTTTTACAGGTTAGGAGTCATGGCAAGTTCACCCATAAATCCAACAACAACCTTAGCATGTTCCAGCATGTGGTTGAAGTCCAAGTTGGCAATAACATCATCGGCAGTGTGGAGGTATGGGTTGGTGCCACGGAAGTTAGTCTCTGCAACGAAGGATGATGGGAAGCCGTTTCGGTGAGCAGAAGCGTGGTCAGAGCAGGCGTAGCCGCACTTGGCCTCGAGAATTTTAATAGCAGCATACTAGCGATAGTTAATAAGAGTGGATATCAAGTGGGTAACGTAACAAAAAACAACATACCTTCTTGACAATGGTCTTGCAGAACTCGTTCAACTCAGCGTTGGTGTTGTCGGTGATAAGGCCGAACTGCTCTGGGTTTCCCTTCTTGGTGAATCCAGTGAGATCCTGGTTAAGCATAGCCTTGATCTTCCTTCCATCGGCCTTGTACTTCTTAAAGATGTTGTTGGAGCCGAGCAAGCCACCCTCCTCACCGGCATACCAGTGGAATTCTAGGGTGTTGGTAGAGTTGGCAGCCCGGAGAGCCTTGGACTTTAGGATATTTCGGAAGGCCTCGAGGACAACAACGGTTCCACTTCCGTTATCATCAGCACCGGGGGCACGGCCCTTCATGGGGTCCTTCGCGTTAAGACTGTCCTGGTGGGCTCCAACAACAATAGTGTCCTTGGAGGCTCCGGGGATAGTAGCAATAACGTTAAACTGCTTGAAGTTGTTGGTGAATTTCTCAACTTTGGCGCCCTTAACCCCTGAAGCCTTGATGATCTTCTGGACTTCGTTGAAGACCCAAGTAGCAGATTCAACACCGGTGGGTGACTCATAGTAGCGGTTGTGGAAGTTTACCAGGGTGTTAAGGTCGCGCATCAGGTTTTCCTTAGACAGGCCCGCAATGATAGGATTTACGATACCAGCATGGGTAGCGGCCTTTGGGTAGTTTGCAGGAACGACCTCAGTCGTAGTAAAACCAGTACCAAACTCATCAGTGATATCAACGAAACCATGTCCGGCCTTGTGAATGGTGTTAGTATGCTGAATGATTTTTCTTTTGGTATATTGGTATATGGAGGACATACCGCTCTCATTTCATGTTTCTGTTGCTTGGTAACCCATTGAGTTTCTCCTGGACCGAGCTCAATCAGGAACTTGTCGCTGTCAACACCGTCGGGGCGGATTGGCCCAGCAATTGCGGTAGCCGCAAAGGCAGAAACCACAGCAAGGGTAGTGATCTTCATTTTGACGGAACGAGCAGAGAGATGTATATTGAGAGAGGTTGGTTTTTCCAGTCTGCTCAAAAGGAAAAGAAAAGGAGGAAGATGACAATGAGCGAGGAAGGCATGTAGCCTTATATATCTTCTCTATTACAGGCAAGATAAAGGGCTAGCCGAGCCGGCGTCATCCTGTGAGGGCTTCGGTGTAGGCTGATGCATGGTTCTTTTAGGACCCATGGTTATGATCCATGCAGAAGATCAATGTCCGCTAGTAGCCACGGGGAAGGGAGGCGCTGGGGAGAAACACGAGGATTAAGTGCTCTCCCGGGACTTGGCTGGGGTAACATGCAGCAGATCGCTAAGTTTATTTACTTAAATAATGAGATAGATAAGTAAATACCTCATTTGATCTATGTGATGGTATCGTATGAAAGGTGGTGCTCCGGTTTAAACAGAGTACCAAATCAAAGTGGCCACATATATGAATGAATAATTGATTAAATGACATGGCAGGGTGCCGGGACCGGAAACACATCCGCTTTGGAGGTTAAACCGCAACAATGGGTCGAAGCACCTTAAACGAATCTCCTGTTTGTTCGCTCATGATACTGGAAAGGTCGGGGTTCCTGGTATGAAACACCAGCGGAAAGCTCACGTTTCCCCATATCCGACCCTGGCCACAAATGCCTAGGTGCCATGTCCAAAATGCACTGGACCCCCACAGAAGGCCGCACTCTATGCCGAGGCGGGGTACTGGGATGCCTCTTCCAGTTCTAAGCAGTGTGACGAAGAGACGCAAACATATCGCCAGCAAGCCTTCCGAATGGACATATATAGATCCATGATGCTCACCAGGTGGTGCCACAGCTGAGAGATACCGCCTAGGTTTAGCAAATGAAACGCCGAGGCTGATCGGCGCCTGGAGAAGCCGTCGTTAACCCGGACCAGCCCTGTGATGGATGGGCTGCGAACCACCCTCGTTTTGTGCGTATTTTAACACTGAGGCATCGGGGTGGAGGAGGGAGAATGAGAAGGGTTTCATCCAGCCGGAGGGAAGGAGTAAGGACAGCAAGGTCAGAAAGAAGTACTCTGTAACGCTACCAAATATCAAGTGCCTAGGAAAATAATCGGGAACTGCCAGCTGCCTGACACCTGCCCTTAACCCACGATGTCAAAACCACAGACGTAGTCCATGCATGGCATGCCTACGTACAGATCCGCCTTTCGGTATATGCACAGGGCGACGCGACGTGCTGAGGTTAACTTAAATAAAGTGTTATTCGGTGGAACTTCGGATAAGCTTCAGCGCGGACTGACCAACTGCGATAAAGCTTGGCAATGCTTATATAAGCTCAGTCGCTGGGCCGAGCGATGTCAGCTTCGTGGTTCTGGCTGCAACAACGACTTCGCTTCCATGATGCGGATCGTCATTCGGCAGCTCGATCTATTGAACATCTCCCGAGAATTACTGGCCTCCTGTTTATCCCACCCAAAGTATGGAGTGGTACCTTTTCCATCCCAGCTCTTCCGCCAGATTTTCGATGATCCAGAGCCACACACGTGGTACCAGCTGCAGGCCCTTGGATATAGAGAGAATCTGATATACCCCCAGCCCGCACTTCATTCCATTTCGTCGCTTTTTATTAGGGAAGCGGCCTTTCCCGCGAATATATATATGAGGCACGTACTCCGTATACGGAGTACTTACGGTGCGCGCTCTCAATTGGTCCATAAAAGTGGAATCTAGGGAGGTAAGGGGGCGGGATAAACGGATCATTATATGTACACTTAAACAACCCAAAATCGGAAGACTAAACAAATATGGCAATGATTCGCCCTCATTATACCAATTGTCATGGCATTGAATATATTGGGGAAGGTTGGTAAGCTTGCTATTCTATAAATATCACATTTGACAGGGAAAATGGTATCCTTTCCAGCGATTGGTGACCTTAGCCGTCTTTAGTTCTGGTAGCTCCCGTTCAACTCTCCATTCCGAACGCAGCCGTATAGCCATTGCTTGTTCCTCTGATTAAAACCTAGGCATCGAACAAAGCATTGAATGAATAGCTGCTGTCTCTTTTGCCACTCCCCCCCGCCCCCCCCCTCCATCCATGTTCTCCATTTCTGGTGTTGGATGCTACCCTAAAAGAGAACTAAAGGGAGGCCCATGCACTTAGAAAGGCTTCCAGGATGGCTTGACCCAGAGTATTCATGAGTATTAATAGCGAGTTTCCCACTCATTTCACTATTTATTCACGGGGGACAGTTCGATAACATCAATTGTTAGGGTCTAAGAGATTATGTTTTCCCGAGTCGCAAGGATGTAACTTTGTAGTCACTGAAGTCCAATCATGACCAGATGGTATCTGCCACACTTCAGAGATAATAACGAGCGCTCTAGATCAAGGAGCCTCTCAAGCGGTCGAAATAGTAGAGCGGGATGACATTCATTGCTCTGACTTAGTTGGCTTGCTATCTAGTTTTGACCAGATATGGAGGATATGCACGTTACTAGGCGATATCAAACTGGCAGGTTTACCTAGTTATGCAAATAAGCATCATTCAAAACATGAAACATTCGAAGACAATGACTTCCAGTATACATGATACATAAATTACATCTACTTTGTGGAAATTCTCGAACCTCTCATGGGGTCTACTCTAATGGGGAGCCTGTAGAACCTACAAGAAGATAAAAGTAAATTGTTTCCAGGATGGGCATCATTATCTACTACGTTCGATAGCCTCAATATTGAATTTGCACTACACTGATAATCGAAGACGGATAGCAAGGGCTTGGGCATTAATGCCATTTCGAGATAGTTAGAGAACTACACTCTGTCTATCTTTGTACCGATAGAAATAGGCCGAAGGCAGCTCTGGGGAATGGCAGCAAACAGCCTATGAAATATATAAAAAAGTACAAACTGTAGCCCATACTAGAAGTTGTAATGTGCGCAAGGATGGAATATTTTGAAAACAGGATTTGAATATAGCTTCGAAGTGGCCTAGCGAATCACCACAGATCTATTGCAGGTGCTCGCATTATCTACAGGGTGTCGATAGTGGTTTCCAAGCTGGATTCATGTCTGGCCAGGATGAAGACAAGGTAGGTGCTATCCGTAATGAGGCTTGTAATTGGAAGTGATGATGCAAATTGGATAGAAGGAGCTATGGGAGTAATGTGGCTATACATAATCGGATCAAATGACTTTCAAGCACCCACCTTTTCGTAAGACCCAGCTCGAGTGGCCGATATGCTGAGGAAACAATCATAGTATTTATTAACAACTTTTGAATTCAAGATACGTCCTATGATACGTACCAATATCTCAGCTAGTAGCCGCAGGTACTGTGCCACTGAATCGAGGGGAGAGCAAAGCAATAAACAGTATAGAACAGCCAGATTCAACCATAATGAGCGACGATATGCCACATATTACTGCGCCACCACCGGCCTTCGAATCAGACATCCATAAGCATACCCATCCTTCAAGCCCCAAACGGCGAGACCGGCATCAGTTCAGCTCAAGCGAACAATACAACAGAAAGTCAGAAGACAAATATAATACTACCGCGATGGATACCGTGGATATTGAGCCACCCGTTTACGCTAAGATTGCTGATTCTGCCAAGAAAGAGAAGGTCGAGCAGAGACCAAGAGGATGGGCAAGCCGGAGGTATCCATCCCATGATTTGGAAAGCGGAACAAGCGGCAGCGAGGCTATGGCTTCACCCGGAGCAAGGCATTATTCCACCAGGGAAATGCCAGTATACGATGATCAATACTTCTACAAATATGGCAAACAGCCTCAAATGAGCCGCTGGCAGAAGTCTGAGATGAAGTACCGGCATTGGTTAGAGACTATGACACAACGACGCAGAACAAAGCTTGTTTTCCAGATGATGTTGGCAGGAATGATTGTGGGTATTCTTTTGGGGCTGGCATTTGGCATTTCCGATGATTAGTTCACTGGGCTGAGGTTGTTGGAGTGCACGCGGGTGATCTCCATTGGTGATGAACTAACGAATCCTTGTTTTAATCCGTGAGATTGGACGGTTATGGGTGGTTCAAGCAACGATCCAGGAGACAGGCCCATATGTTTTTGGCAGAGGAGTTCCGGCAACAGGTATTTTTATGTAGTCCTCTATAGGCATTTATACACAACCACGACGCTGCGTAGGCAGTTATCAAATCAATAATGGATAGCAGGTTTTTTTCCTTGACTTCCCTCAGCTCCGAGATCAATTTCTGCTTAGCCAGCCCTGATAAACAAGAACTCACGGATTAAAATTTATCCCTCGTCTATCGCTGCTATTTACACGTGACCAATTCTTGGCTATAAATCTTTTGCGCACCGCGAAAATTCTTTCTCTTTTTCTTCTTCTTCTTCTCTCCAGATCAAAAAAGTTAACAGAACCTGCCACGACCGTCATTTACAAAAATACAACCCCAAAGTGATGTGTTGCCATAGGGTCTAGTTTACTAGGCCCTTACGGTTCTGGAGAGCATTGTTCCTCGATAGGAAGTTTCTCTCCCGTTGAGTTCTTTTAAGTAAGGGCGATGGGAAAGGAATGTCGATGACGGGATACATTCATATTACTACGGAGTATATCTATCACCTATAAATAAAGTTAGGTGTACACCACCTGTTATCACGGGCTTACCGTCATTATAAACGGTCAAGGATATTCCTGACATCCATTGACTTACACATTGAAAGTCCGGAGCAAATTCAAATGTAAAATCATAGAATTAGGCTGTGGAATCTCTCGCTCCATCGCTTTCGCCTTTACTAGGACGAATTGATCACTTAGCGCTCGATATTGATATGCCGTCAACTCTTTAAATATCCTGGTACCGAAACACGCCCAAGTTGGATATGGCCCCCAAACCCGAGTATGCAACGCACAGAACAAACTTACAAATTACCTATAACAGCAGGACACCCTAGCCCAAAAGGGATCCCCTGTGTTCTCAAAATGGCTAGAGCAAGAGTGATTTGAGTAAATAACCAATCTTGGCCTTGCCTTCTGTTAGCTCAACAGCAACAGCAGATCGCTGTTATCTGACCGACACAGGCACAAGTGGGTTAAACTAGGCGAAGGCTTATAAGGACTGTGTACAGGCTACATCCTGTGCATGGGGTCCGTCCAATTTGGAAATCCACCCTGTTCAAAAGCTAGTCTTGACAAATAGGTGCATGTGATATTGAATCCTGATGGGTGGACAGAATGTACTTGGCCTTCATCCCATCCTGCCCTAGCCAGAAAGAGAAATCGCAGGCTCATCCTGGGACCACCAAATATGGCTAGACAGTTGTTAGTAGAAACTTGGTTGTTTGCTTGCCTGCCTTGCATATCAGATCCTTCGCGAAGCAAGCTAGCCCGCAACAGTTGCAATGGTTGACATGGTTGACGCATTTCGATGTATATGGCACTGCAAGTAGTATGCCCTATCGACTGCGCAAAAGCGGGAGGGCTCGGGTCATTCATGGAACATACATTCGATAGGAGCATATATTAAAATATGCACGGTTCTCGAGTAGCTCAAGTCTGCAACATGTACTAGCCTGGACATGAAGTATGAAATCAATGTATTGTCACCATGTGACAGCACAAAGGGGTGAGCTAGGAGGAGTACTGGATTGGCATTCCTCCCATATTCCAGCATTGGCGTTGGAGGTGGGTATCAAGCCAGACGCACGAGATACGGTGAGTTCGGAAGGGAGTCTGACGTGGTCAAATGGGAGACAAAGACTGGCCCGTGATATTTTTGTGTCTGCTAGGATGTTTGTTACCCTGTCAATTGCTTGAAAGATTGTGGGTTGAAGCGAGAGCCATGTTCGAGTCAATAGTTTGACAAATATCCTGACTGGCATGGGGCATATGGAAGGGAAAGCCCAAAAGTATAACAAATGCATCCACTTTTGTCCAAATATGGCAAACATCTGAGCGCTAAATGCAGGATAACATGTTTTCGAGGCAGCAGGTTGGCTTTGTCCTGTCAACAGCAACAGTGTGATACCTGTTACTTCGCATACAAGGCCGAATTGGGAAGCCTAACATCGATCTGCAATACCTAGTCAATATTCTGAGGGGCCATAACTATCATACTAGCACTCTGTGTGGCTCGCTGACCGGAATCAAAGACTCGGTAAGTCAAAGCGTGTAATAGTTGGGACCACACCCCATATCTCGAAGTAATAACTCGATAAACAAAAATAAAAGTCTGCGTGTTTCGTCAACCGGAACTTGGATTCTGATCCCGTCAGACAGGGGATATTTTGCTTTGGCATGTGTACGCTACCCAATGGGAGGTACCACAATCCCCTGCCATCTGTAGTCTGTAGCATAGACACCTCAGGAGATACGCTGTATAAAAATATCTGCTTGGAGGTTGCTATTCTAGCCGGCTTTACCGCTGAAGAGTCGCAATATGAGGCATAGAGATCCATAAGCAATTAAACACAGGAGTTCAATGCATACCCCGTTGGGTTTCGAGAACGGTCCGGTTTGATATAAACTAACAAGCCATACCACATGGCGGTAGCTTAAATATTGTGAAGATTTCCTATTTGGGGAAAGACGGATGGCAAGCTGGCCAGTCTGGGAGTAATGATTTGTCGCCGTGATGGAGCTGTTTCCTGCACATACCCGCCGAAGAATGACATGCGTCTCACTACACCTGAACCATGCCAGAGAGCCAGACGGTTACCGCCGTCAAAGGAGTTGAAGTGGCTGGGGGGCGAATTGGCGTTGCTGGAGTGACGCTGGATTGCCGCTGGGGTGGAACTGCTTCTGTTGTCGCGCGCGAAAGCGCCAGGGTATCGAATACCAACCAGCAACGATTCTGAAAGACGACCTGCAACATACGCGCTCTTGATGAAGAGAGACTGGGGGATGATTGGATGATAGCCCTGGATGCTTTAGTCGGCATTAACATTTTGATATCGCACACCTTCGGCAGGAACAGAAACACTTGACTCCTGGGCGCTTGTCTCTAGCAAGCGGCCTGGACAGGCACATAGGCATGAAGAAATTTTTTTCTCTTTCTTCACAGACAAGGCGTGTAAGTGCGAGTACAGAGTATGTCTGTCTATTGCGTCTGCGGACAGGTCGAAAGATAAATAGGAACCAGGAGACCGGAATGTTGGTTCTTTTGACCAACTCATAATTCCAGTTTCTTTCTTCCCACAGCACCCACCAGCCCAGTCGCCCTTTCTCTCCTCCAACTTCACTAGCACTTTTCTCATCTTCTCCCGCTTCCAAGTGACTTAACCAAGGCTTAGTTAACTAAGCTTGAGTTTGTCCACTTATCATAACTGATCATCTATCTCGAGTCAGGTACGGAATAACATAGGGCCATCCAGCGTGGTGACTATCGACTGACATAACAGCGCAGGCCGTCCTGTTGGACAGGGCATCGACTTCACACACTCCACTTCTCTGCACTGATCCCAGCCTGCTCAGCCCATCACACCGACTTATCACGCATCCCCACGCAAGCCAACGCCTGCATATCACCGTTGTCGCTCGCTGCAAAAGGCTGCATCAACCTGCATCTTGCGCCCCTTTCTCAAGGTTGTGACCTGTGACGAACCAGCCAATCACAACGCGCAGCGCGCCCTGAGCCCTAACTTTGGCCCCAATTCGGGCTTGCTTTAAGGTTCACGACGCTGTGACCCGCCCTGCCTTATCAGGCCTAGCTTTGTTTCTAATCCTGGAACCGCCGCTATTCCACTTACGATCAACTGACCCCACTCTCAACACTCTGATTCGTCAGATTTAGCCGCCCAACTTTGTGCTTCAGAGTTGCAGAATCAGAAGAATCATCGACCAGGGACATCGCCCTCGCCTTCCCCCTTCCTACTCACTCATCAAATCGACATTTTTCATCGTGAAGCTACGCCGGCCGTCCCTTCACCTGCATACGCGCTCTCACTTTGATCCGTGGCAAACAGTCATTGTACATTGTGGCATTGCTCCTCTGGAAGGTTATTGGATCCTATAGATTGAACCACCCCTCACCAGGCAGCGTCCATTACCTTCCGCACCGCGCTATTACATCCCCCAATTTGTAAGTGCCTTTTACACAGAGGTACTGGCTACATATCCTGTTGCTGGGAGGAGGAGTTACTTTCACCCCCTGTCATATTTTCCGGCCATTCAGCTCTCTTGTTGAAGGCCCAGTTAGTTCGACGGCGGCATATTCCATTCTTAAACTTCATTTTCCCACCCTTCAAAACAACCCTCTCCTCCCTTCCGCTCCCCTCTCTTCTTTTTCTCCGCCTCTCTTCCTCTCTTCTCCCTTCCAGAGGCCATTTCTTCGACCTTTCGCCGTCTCACACATTCACCCGTTGGGACTACACTCTTGTCCATCATGGCGCCAACTGCAAAGCCTACCCTAGCGCCTCTGAAGACATCCAAATCACCCACCTTTCCCTCAGAATTACACGATAGCCCACTCTTCTCTGGAAAAACAGAGTCCATCAAACAGGAGGACTTTCTCAGGACTCCTATCACCCCACCCACGGCATACATGGACTTCCTCAAAACGGTCACTCCAATCGTGGCATCGCCATCTAGCGCAAGGGACAAGAGCTTCGATCGTCTAGCCGTCTCTGTATCGCATCCATCTACCGCAACCAGTCCCTACTTTTGTAACTGCTCAAATTCTTGCCGCAAGTCGCCGACCGTGGCATCGATCACCTCTTCACCAGTTGTTCTACATCACCACTACCGCAGTAGTGACAGAGTTCGGAAAACTCCCACTTCTGCAAAACCACTGCGCATCTCCGCTCCATCTCCAAAATTGGTCTCTCCTAGCTTTGACTCTCCCCGCTGTTGCTCTGCCAGATCACCATTACCTCCCCCAGACTGGATTACTGAGTCCACCACCAGACAGACCGAGACACCACGATGCTCGTCTTGTTCGAGACCTATCAGTGTCCGCCATGTCATCACCAGAACCATAACCTACAAGCGCACAGCTCTCGAGCCAGCTCCCAAGGGAAAGCGGAGAAAGGCTGATGAATAGATCAAGCACCCGTCTTGTTCCTCACTACTGCCTGCTGCAAAAATTCCACGAAACAACTACTCCTCTTGGGCTTCATACTCTAATACAGTTATGCGCTCATGATTGACGACTGTCATTGACTACAACCATAATCTACCTCACTCGCTGGGACACTTAATCTCTTATGTCATTTCCTCTCTCTGATTATCTACCTGGTGGTTTGTTATTGAGCATGGAGTCCCGTTTGTGATGTTTCTTTCACTCATATATTTTCTATATACATGGGATTTGATATCCCTAAATACTAAGCTAGGACCAACTGGAGTTTCTTTGATCTGGTCTTATTGAGTGTATGGGCCTTGATGCTGTTCATCAAATTATAATTCCATACCAATCTTGTTTTACTTTCGATGATATATACTCTTCATTTAGTTATTTACTAGAGAAACATGTCTTTGAGTATGCATCTAACCTCCTCATTGCTGATTTATTCCATGCCAGTAATTGCATGCCCTTCGAAGTGAGTCTTGTTACAAGGTTCAAACCGAACACATGGAAGCAAGGTCCACTACTAAGCACCTGGAAGGATAACTCCTCGTTATTAATAGTATCCCCCCGTGTTTATATGTGCCGTGAGCATGATTACACACGTTACTGTTCCCGGTATCGCATGATATTTTTTCTATGTCTGTCGGAGCATTTGTGATGATAATCACAGCCTTGTAAGTATGTTCCTGTTTTAGTCCAGTACCCATGGCAGGAGATCCCTATGCCAAACTTTCATAGTTTATCACCTGTAGGTCTTGGACTAGGGTAGGACTCACAGAGACATGCAATGTGATATCAATGCTTCGTGTATAGAGCTTGTTAACCTGGCACGCCAAGGTAAATTCCATCTGAGTGTCTTTTTTTTCAACTATGAATGATAGTTCATCCAAAATATCAAAATTTCATGCAGATGGTGTGATATGTTGTTGACGAGGTGGCAACAAACTGTCCTATTAGGATGCATGGCCGGGATGAGTAGGCTACCGGGGCTATAAATGCAGCGCTTAGGCTGAACCAACAGGACTGAGCTCATATATTATCCACAATATATGATGTTTTGGAGGAAGGGAATAATACAGAATCACGGTGACGTGTAGCTGAACCAACGGTTTTCTGTAACTTGTCCTGACTCAAACTGATTCAGGGCAGGGACAATATGCTGCTTCCACCCCCCCAAAAAAAGGAGGGGAAGGGGGCCGGCGATAAAACCAGAGCAGCTAAGTACCGGGGCTCCGTCCTTGCGAACTCGGTTGGATCGGGGGTGTTATATAGTTAGTGATGCATGTTCCGCCCCGACCCTCGCTGGCGCCGTCTCCTGTACCGTCTCCATCTGGATCGGTATCCTGATCAACTTGATATGCAGTCTTTGCTGCTTGCTTCCGCCTACCATTCGCCCGTCGTGGGTGTCACAAAAGCTTGGCGGCGCTAAGTGAGCCGCATCGAATCGTGAGTTAGTGTGTTGTCTATTTATAGAACAAGGAGGCCGCGGGTTAATTTAGAATTTCCCATAACGACGGCTGGGAGGGGAGCAGCCTAAAAATAACCGCCAACATCATGATAGAGGACAAAAAACTGAGCGGAGGGGACAAGAGGCAACAACATCTGTCCGCATAGTATTTGTTTTTTTGTTACCCGCTCCTCGAGCTAACTAGCTAACTGCTCTTTCTTAAAATTAAATATCAGGAGTTCCTGACTGGGCCATGGCTCGCGAGTTCACCCCGGACAGCGAGTTTGCGGCCCTGGAGACACCGCGCGTCCCCAATAAGCTTCAATCCCTCACTGCGTTGGGGCGCTTCGAGTTCGAAGCCGGGAAGGGCAATGAGGGCACCAAGATCCTGATGGTGGAATGGGAGGACGACGACCTTTCTAGATCAAGTACAGGATCATGGCAAGTTTCGTGGGATGGAAAGCGAACTGTCCTACCAGCCCATGACCAGGCTACTGATCAAATCCGCCGTTGCTATTTCATGCTGCCGCCGCATGCTACCATTCCGCCAACAGTCACTCTCACTTACGAACCTCCGCCGAGCTCGGCCTCAACTGTGAAGAAAAGCGAGTCCATCCAGATCCATCCATTACCGGCCATTTATCCTCCAGAGCTCGGAGCCACTGCACGAACGGCGGGGAAAAAGGGGGTGTTGCATACGATATGGGCTAAGAAACGACTGCAAGTGCTGGAGAAGGAAATTAAAGAGGAGTCTCAGTATAACGCCGAAGGGATTGCGTTGCATATGGCAATAGAGGAGAAGGAGTGGATAGAAGCCAACTTTGGAGTCGTTGTGAAAGGCTTGCCGCCGTTAGTGACAACAAATGTTTTATCTAATTTGAATGCTCCGCCGCTCAGTCCCACGACTCCTGTGTCGCCAACAGGCGGAAATCGACTGGCCGAGAAGCTAAAGGGGCTGCGACTGGGGACGAGTGAGAAAGATCTAACCCGCAAACCCATGGGTAAGTGCATAAGCGCATAACATACTATCAACCCCCTTCGCCCCCTTTACGCTCTCAATAAGCGCGAATCCAACGCATATGTTTCACTATAATTGGGGCTGCTATTCTAACGTACATGCAGGCAACTCGGTTTCTGATCCAGAATTGCATCCTCTCTCTCCCGACGAGCCTGACATGGCAATATCCTCTTTCAGCTCATTTCACACTGGTAATACCCCAATCAACACGTCTACTCCGTCCCTGCAAACGCAGCAGCAGCCCCAGCCGTCAAATCTATCAAACCAACCACAGACCCACCCGATAGTCAGGCAGCCAGTAGCCCATGCTCCTCCAGACTTCATTCGCCGGCAGCAAGAGCAAGATTCTGGATTTGCCTCATTGAATATGCAGCCTATTGGAGACGGCGGTATATTGAACAACAACGCTAATAATACAAACTCTCCTGACGTTCAAGATGGATTGTTTGCTAAGGCACTTAGCCCGCGGTCCCCTGATATCCCCAAAAGCCCTTTCTCGTTCTCTACTGAGGAGACCCTGCCCTACGCAAAGCAGCTAAATGCTTGAAATTTTTACAGGGTAATGTGTGTGATAAGTTCTTTTCATCTCGTTTCCTCGTACTTGCACCATTTCCTGGCCATTCTGCTCAGCACTTTTTCAATACACATAAATACATACCTGGCCGCATGGAAACCAAAACGATATTATGATTATGATACAGGAAAGCTACATTATTTTCATCTTCACAATTTCAATCTCCCCCGGTCAGTTTTCATTTGGAGCTACCATTCAAATTATTTTAGTTCGCGGACAATTATTTTGTATCATTTAAGACATTATGGCTTTCAAAGTATCTGCAGTAATTCTACCTCACGTATTCCTTATATAAGCTCAAAAGAAGCCGACAAAATGGCGCCAAGAGAAAAGGGGCTCCGATTATTGTTTTTTCTTGTTGGCAGCAGAGCTGCTGCTCTGCTTCGCAGCCTTGGTGGAGGAGTCCTTGTCAGTCCTGTTTTTCTCTGCACTTTCTTCCTCTTTCTTTCTGATCAGCTCCGCTTCTTGCTGGGATTTCCTGTCGGCATACCATTGGCCGGCTTGGAGTACCAAAACGCCAATCAAAACCAATGCCAAAATGGTGTTACTTGCTGCGAGCACTTTCATGCTATCCTCCCGGCCAAGCACTTGCTGAACACTCCCAATATCGTCTTCATTCTCACCCGAAGCTGCGGCAGCAGCAGCGGCGGCGGCGGCATCTGCTGCAGCAGACGCTCCATAATCACCTTCTGTAACAATACGAAGCCCCTTAACTATGTTGGCAATGTAGACAGTGATACCGCACATGTAAAGAACCAAGCTGGCGCCGTCAAATAGCATGTTGGATTCGGTTGGCTTGTAAAGCTTCATCACCAAGCCCAGTAGTCCAACCGCGATGACAATATGGAGGATGCGTGGGATCAATGGCGGAGAGCTATGGAGGAATCGCAAATGGGCCTCGAGATAGTCATAGTGAGATGGCGGGGTTGGCGCGGCTGACCATAGCAACGGGTAGTCGTAGGGGAAGAGAGAGAAAATTATCCCAAGGAAAAAGCAGGTTGCTACATTGACAAACGGTTAGCGATTGAACAGCACAATTCTTCCTTTGGGTGAGAGCTCTGAGTTTATGGGGGTGGAGCTTACGACAAACGATGAGGAATGCGGCGAAGGAACCGCTGAGAGCCATGATCGCGGAGAACGGTTCTTACACAACGGGCCGGTTGATAAGAGATACACACGGCTGGCCAATAGTCTTCGGTGGTTGATTCGATCTGTCTAATGCGCCCATATCAAATTAGCTGCGGTGGCCTTCTGTGCGCAAAAGCCCATCGACTAGTTCCATAGTAGTAAGCAGTCAACAGGCGGATGCGATGGAAAGCTGAAAAGAGCCACTACTCACCACGGGAGAACAAGTTCAGCGCCGACGCAAAAGTCCAGATGGAAAGAAGACGTGTCTTCGAGTGGCCGGGAAGAAGAAAAGAAGAAAAATCCTTCCAGAAAACGCGAAGGCGATGTTGTTCTCTTCTCCTCCTTAGCCTTCGCTCTTAAAGGCTTGGAAGTTCGGCCGCCCTTCTACCCCAGGATTATGTAATAAATTCACTGCTGCTTTTTATTGGCTGGAGGATGCGGGAGCTCTGGCCAATAGCGGAATCTCGGATTAATGCTTGTCCGGCTTTTGCTTTTTGGAGGTTTGAGGCTCCGAGATCCGAAACGGGAAACGCCAACTTCAAGGCTTCAACCTCTGCGACTTAAGGATGATTTTATGTAGTGATTATTCACGGGCGTTAATAGTCCAAATCTGCTATACATGACATGGAGATTGAAATCTCAACGCTAAACGGCGATTGTATGCCGTACTTGTACACGGCGGAACTCATGAATTGCATCTTCAGTTTTCGGGGGCCATATTGGCTCTGACCGTGAAGGGTATATGTCAAATGTCTTGAGAGATGGCTTTTCCAAATCTACTACCCGCTCATACCATAACTTACAACTGGGCCCTTGGCTGTGATGAGTATACTATGTCAGACTCCGTCGAAGAAGATAATAAATCAAATGGGTGAATCGCCATTCTTACCATTGAATTTCACATTCAGTCCCACTCTCCTGGCTTTCCAGCTGACACCCTGGACACCTCAGTGCAGATGGTGGTGGCATCCAAAACACCATACTCATAGTCACGCTCCTTCCGGGTAAAAACACCGACTCCCACGGTGCTTTGAAATCTAGCTGGCGCTTGGAGTTGGATTCCTTCATAATATACTCCATATTCTTTACTTTCTTCCAACCGGGAACATGGCGGAATCGAGCTTCCAATACCGCTTGCAAAGCCTCAAAGGAGTTTATGAATTCGACGTGGAAAGGCGTCACTCTTCCATGGGCATCTTCCAGCTCCACGGGCCGCTGCCGTTCCACCTGTCGAGGCAAGGCAGGCGCTTGGTAGTCAACTTGTGGCTGGGCTTGGGACTTTTGTAAATCAAGTGCCATCCTATACACCTTCATGTTCATGTCAAAGGCTTCTATCATGACCGATCGTACATCCTGTATGTTTGGTTGTGTTTTCGAAACTTCAAGGATATTTAGTATTCTGCTAAGCGTGTCTGCTTGTGTCCCGAGCATATTGTGAGTCTGGCCTATAAGATTCTGCGTTTCTTTCATCATTAAGGCTGACTGTGCCAACGTAGCTTGATTATAATCCTTGATAGTGCTTGTCTGTTGAGCCGCTGTGGATCTGCGACATCACGTTAATGGGGGACAAGGAAGTAACTCTCAATTGCACAGGATACACTTACGATTGCATCGTTATTAAAAGGGTATTTATGGTCGTCGTGTGTCCAAGTATCTGGGTCCGCAAGTTATCAACCTCGGACTTCATAAACAAAGCCCACTCGACTTTGTGAAAACGGGTCCTCAATTTGGACGCTGTCTGCTCCTTTCCAAGCGTTGCCTTGAATTTGGCATGTTGTAAGAGGAACGTTTCAATGGTTTGTTGGCACTGGTCTGCAGCTTCCTGTAGAGCTAACCTTTGGTACTTTTGCGATTCATCGAATTCTAAACATCGTATCTCCTCTAACCCACATAAGAGGCCATTTAGATCTGCCACAAACCGTTGGTATGTTGAACTTGCTCCTGTACCATCACGGAACGCTAGATATACCGATTTAGCTACCTTGGTACAAGCAATAACATCACCGACTGAAAAGCCAAAGCCCGTCGCCATGGTCGACAAAAAAACATCCTTGGCGCCCAAAGATATTCAACAACACTATCACTGCGACGGGGAGCACTTGACAGCTTAAATAGGAGCTTTGACTTCAATTATCAACCCCCGCTGCAGAAATGCCCAGCAGATGAACTACTTTTCTTGGGTTTCCCGATTGGCTGAACTAGCTTCGGCTTCCTTGCACCTGCATGAAGGATCACAACGTCACACTGTACGAGAGGGGAATAAAAAGAAAGGATTGAGCACAGCCTGAGGATCAGCGGTATGCCAAATAATGTTGTTTTCCGGGGTTAACTAATATGATCGATCAGCAACCGAGTTAATCTGAGCCCAAGCTCCAATATGCCACGAGCTGGCTGATTCTCCCTATAGGAGCACGCTATACGGACTATAGCTACGGAGCATGCCTGTGTGTTTGTTGCCAATCAAAAATAGTCTTTAAATGCACGGAGTCCTCCATGGCCAGACCCGGGCCTTCCGAGTGACCTCCCTGTTCAACCTGATGGAAAGGTAATCCGGAACCCAAGCTAGTATTTTAGTTACGGTAGTTAATCAACCCAGGTTGAGCAGAGCTTGCTTCAGCTACCCCGGTATCAGATCAAATTTCGGGTAATAAACTCATTAATTACCCCTGCCACAAAGGCTCAGCCACGAAAAGAACGGTTAACAGCTTGCTGCTATTTGTGGTTTCTCGCACTAGCATTACGGGTTACAACCTCCACCGAAGGCATTGTCATGAATTATCCCCGACGACCCCCAATAAACATTTTGAACATTAGGAGGCATTAACTCTATTCCATTTATAGAGGAAACTGGCAATGGATAACTACTGTACACTGCAGCGGATCCAATGCCATTCAGAACAATTTCTGCATACGAATTACTTCGTATGTTAAGAAATTGCACATTTTAGACGAACAGTCTGCCCAGTTGGCGGCTCCACTATTACAACTCTACAGTTTCTATTCAATCTCGTTTCAAGCGGAGTTCGGGCCTAACCTTCGCTACCTTGTCTAGTCAACTGAATGCTCTATACCTCATGTGCCAACTGTGGTATTAATGTGCTTTATGGCAAGGCATTACTATTTCATCTCGACTTTGGCCCACTAACATGGCCCTTAAACCTCTTGATATACCAGTGATAGTTGGGTGTGTCTAGGCTCCACCAGTTTGGCTGCATCAACCGCCATTCGCTTCAATAGGATCCCTCCTACCTTAGATGGCCGCCCCTGGAGATATCTTTATTAGATTCCAATGTCCAGGTTTGGTTAGCTCAAGGTTCTTGACAATTGGATGCTTTGTTGCTGGCTTTCATTTTAAACCGGCCGATCTGCGTATTTCTGGGGGTCTTATAGAACTTGGATTTCTGATTAATTTTGGCGGACTTGATAACCACCTACTTACCATCTTTGATATTTAGAAGAGTAGGCTGGTTACTCAAGCTATACCTTGTCGAGTTTTGACGACGACATCAATTTTAAGTGGAGTATTTATTTGTACATAGGCTTATTTTCTATGGTATCAACATATATCCATTCTATTTCTCCATGACATAACACTGAAAACAACGCTCTAGCCAGCTTGTTCAGCGTAACTGTGTGATGTCTTGGATATACGTCTGTGATGTATTATATCGTGGGATACCCTAGACCCTTTCTTGCTTGTAGTCGGGTCATTAGGCTCCATTGCGATATACAGATCCTACTACCCTTTTACGCTGCGAAGAACAATACTATTCCATATAAAATACCGGATTGTTAAAATCACTCCAGGTATTCCCGGAAATGGCTAGCTTGTTTAATCCAAGGACTTCAGTTACTATAGGGTAAAAAGATAAGGGGTAATACTGTCATATATTGTTTCCTAAACTAAAGTTCATAACCGTAGAAGGCATAAAATGTAACAAAGGAAATATTTAATAAAAGAATAACCAGTAAATTCTCAAGGTCCAGCCTTGTCCTCCCCTGCAATTGCATCTAAATATACGTGTTCAACGAAACGACTAGACTATCCCCCGGCTGTCAACAGGTCACAAACTAGGGTTTCGTTCAACCCCAAGGCGGTAGATGATGCAGTTGTTCACCCTGGAGCCTCCCTTCTTCAAGGTCGTAGTGTCAGCCTGGCAGCCATTCAAGCAACGTCGGAGCTGATCCTTGCATTCTTCCTCAACAACGTTGCGATTGGTAAGACATCCTGGGTCGGCTGTATTCCAGGAAGCACCGACCCAGAGTGCATTGTGTTGTTTCTCGGCATCCACGAACTCATACGAGTTCTGAGTTCCAGTACTGTTTAGGCCCAGTGGGAGGTCGTTGAACTTAGAGCAGGCGTCATTGATACTGGACTCTGCAAAGTCAACCGTCACATACCCTTCGCCGGTGACCTCGTCAATGGCGCAGTGTAAGTTCTCGTCCGGCTTGGTGTAGTTCCCCTTGACGGTGAGTTGTGGACGGCCAGCTGGTTTAGCCTCTGCGCGGTCTCCAGTAAAGTAGGACGCAGGATATTTGCCATATTCAATGAACGTTTCTAAAGGTAAACCAAAGTGCTTTAGATAGTTTGGATCATTGCCAACTTCGTCAAAGGACGCAATGGTGATGTTGTTCAATTGAAGAACTGGAGCGTCAGCGGGGGATATAAAACCACCTATCATCGTTGTATTGCCCTCAATCTTTCCATCCGCTAATTCCCATCCAAGTCCCTGAGTTTCGTTATTTGGACCAAGGGTTTTGCTCAGGGCTATAGGGTAATAAGGATGGCTAAATCCATGTGTTGGCAAAAATGAATCAAATATCCGTTGATATAACTAAGCAATGCTTACATTTTTAGATTCCCATAGATGTATTTGGCAAGAGAATATTGCACAAGGTTATCAGCTAAGGAGAAGATTAGAATAAGACCAACTCATGCACATTACAGGAACATAGGTAAGCATACCATTTATGGGGAAAGTGAGGGAACTGCTGTTTGAATTGAGCAAATCAATCCGGGCAAGGACTTTTGTCCAATACGGCCCAATAGCCTGGGCAACGGCCGTTTTACCTTCAGTCGTGCGAAACTGTAGCACTCTGTCATTGATGTGGCGTTCAGGGAAGGAAACGTCTGGGAGATGCAGAAGCCCATGCAACATGGAAGACCCTTGAGCAGAAAGAATCAGTATCTTAGTTATCCAACTGAGTGAGCAAAAAGACCATTTACCTCTTGACTGGTAAGTTGCCATGTGCAGTTTGAAAATGTCATCATTCTTCAAAGGGCGGGCAGCGTTTACAACGTCGTTCAATGACGGAAGATTAAAGAATCCATCACAGAAGTTGATGCAGATGCCTTCACCCTCCGTGCAGAATCGCGAAACATATAGAGCCGGTCCATTCTGAGCGCATTTCTTCTGCCAATCATCACAGCGTGCATGGATCCGTGTTGAGGTGGGTCGAAACCACCATGGCCTGGAAAGAGAAGCTGCTCTCATAAGGATCTCTTTTTTCGAGATGCATTAGCTCTTCAATGGCTCTATATTCGAATAAAAGAGTCAAGCAACAGCATCATGCGTACCTTGAATACTGCGTTGGTAGGGATGATTCAAACCAGGGGGGCCGAAATATTCAATTTCAGCATCCCCCTTCCAGTCACCGAAGTTTCCCTTGCCTTCATTGGCAATTTTGATAGAGTCGAACCAGGCTTCGTAGATTTGGTTTTGCTGCATCTTATTGCAGTTGGTGTACTTGACTAGAGAGCCGCCTCCAACTGCAACATCGGCACTAGCCAGGCTCACTGTGGCGGCCAAACCAGCGATAAGAAGAGCTGGTACACCCATGACGGTAGGGTAGAAGGTAAAAGAATTAGTGGAGAAATCTGTGCTGGTCTTAGAATGGTAGAGAATGTGAGGTAACAATATGGAATATATCTTGATTGATATAAAAGAGCAGCCCTTTCCTATAAAGAAAGAGAGGAACTAGGTTGGAATGCAACAAGGGAAAAGACCGTGATGATGATGAGTATCAAGAACGACAGTCATCGGGAAAGGCTGAAAGCCCAATTTATATCCGTCTCATCCGCATCAAGATACATTTCTGATGGCAGTGATGACAAGAGAACATTGAAAAAACACTGCCTACGGCCCTCTGGTTATGTATGCAGCCCCCATCCCAAGAGTAATCAAGTCCGTAGAGCCGGAATCAACACGGCCATATCATTGGTATAGGTACCACTTTTCGCGGCAGAGCCAGGTCCCAAGTCGCGCCAAATGGTTTTATTTTGGATCTGAATAAGCAGGCATATATCGGTAAAAACGATGAGTAAACCGACAGCTGGACCACCGCACTGCATCTGAGGTATGTACCAAAGGGCCGGCGCAAAGGGGCCCCTTCTGCTGCTATTGTTGGCTCCCAGGTGGGTATCAAACTGCATCCAGGCAGGTTGCTAAACCAAGACGCAGCAATCCAGGAATGTATTGAATTGGAAGCGATAACGTCGTAGGTTGACGTAGAGTATCGACCTGAGCAGTTATATATATCAGTATGACCTGTATAAACTGTTTCCTGTTGAACCGCTAAATAGATGAAGGCTCCTGCTGCGACCCCAGAGTCGCTGCCGGCCATAAACATTAGCTAAGAAACGAGACGCTGCGCCAGGGTTGCTCGCCGTGATGCATGCATGCCAGACCCATGACGCTTGGTAATGGAGATGCATTGCATATTACTTAACTGCCCATAGCCATCAGATAACCCGCCATCGCAGCAAGCGGGTTTGGCTGTTGGTTGGGGTCCGTTAAACGATCGGTTGCGATCTGAATTCACTAGATGAAAAAGCTGTCAGCAAATTCACCCCCTTTCGCAGAACGGAGCAAGATGCTCATCCACCCTTAACGTGTTTTTAGCTGCTAGTGTTATCGACCAGGCGGGTTCTTCGGATGATATTACTTGGATTGACTAAATAGCCGGAGGGCAAAAACAACACCGTTTGTGGGCCCCCCTGAGTGACGGGTGGGTAAGCATGCATGCTATATAATGTGATACTATAAGCTATTGTTGGGCTAATCATTGAGCTAACAGAAACTGCCGTCAGGATATCCGTGGTATATTATAGGTGAAAGAAATGCAACGTCCGATGCCTCGAATAGTTTTGAAAAATGAATCCGCTATTAAAAAGGAAGTACGTCTGGAAGAAGAGTGAAATGGTAGAAACGACAGAGTGTGAAGGAAAGAGGATAAACTCCATGTATGGATAAACAAAGTAGAACTCCGTATGTTGAACGCCGTCCGGTCCTGGTCATTGCATAGCCACATTTTCCGTCTATCGTTGGTATCTGGGAAGGGACTCCCCTGTCGCTATTGGCTGTCCTATGATGTCGTCTTCTGTAAGGACAGGGGCAGAGGGTAGGGGTTGATGGCGGATATCTCCGTTTTCAGAGGCCGGAGCGCTGGCCTGGCTGGGCCCACTGGCAGCTGACTCCGGTGCTTCTGAGCCTGGCGGAGCGCTTCTCTCGTTGAGGAGTCGTTGCTTTTCCAGCTCTTGTTTGTCATCTGAAGGAAGGGAGGTTGGGTGAGTCGAGCTTTCGGCAGCGCTTTCAGAGGAGTATGGATAGGCACCTGCGTGTTGAATACTGGAGGAATGTTCATGCGCCGCGTAAGGGGTTATCGTATCAGGTGACGGGGCGGAAGGTTGAGTGTGCATATAAACAGAGGCAGAGTAGGTAGGGGTGGGCGTCTCGAAGTAAGAAAGGTCATGGTGCTCTGAGAGGGCCGGTGCCGAAGCTGGAGCCAGAGTAGGGTTCGACGGGCCAGCTTCATCAGACGCTGGTGGCGCACTGGGTAGGAGCATGGCTTCTGCCCGGCGCAGTCGCGTCTTCTCATCGACTTCCTCTTCAGGCTGAGCTAGGGGAGGGTCTATAACGTATTGGTCTGGAGGTCGGGCATGCCATGGCTCCTGGCTCTCGGACCCAGCACCATGACCATTATCCAAGCTCCGGCCGCCTTGAGACCTGTCTGCAAAGCGAATCTGTGGTGTCTGCCCTTGCTGTTGTTGCTCGCGTACTGTTTCAGGGGTAGTCGGTTGGGTGGGCTGATCTGTATTCGAGGTCGGATAGTCTTGCCGGACACTTCCATCGCTTGAGGCCTTCTGCTGCTGCTGCTGGCCTCTGCCGCTATCCTTCGATCCAACGATAACCTCGAAGACACAAACAATAACGCTTTTATCCCTTCGCACTTGATCGGTGTCCAATATATTCCCCGTACAGCTGGAAGTAGTAGATGTCCCTCCTCTCGATGTCTCCACCGTGTTAAACCCACGAGGCGCGGCGCAGTAATTAGTATTATTGGAGGATGAGTTCATGATATTTAACCGTGGGAGGAAGCGGTCCTGGCCAGCCAGTTTTCCCCGTATATCCATAACGACTTCAACGTAGTAGCGGAAACTAATCATTGCGCCGGGGACGCGGGTGATAGTAGGAAAGCAGTCCTCCGGAATTCGAATGGATGTCTTTATATCTGCCGTCATGTTGTTAGGATCCACTATCAATGGGCAGAATATCTGTGACATGTCCTTCCGAAACACGCTGCAGGTTCTCGTCGCTCCAAAGGAGAGACCTCCCAGTCCCGTTCGGGATTTGGGATAATAGTCTTCGTAAACCGGCCTTTTGCCCTTGGCCGGGGTACCGATGGGGATGGCCGGGTACATGTCAATCCTTCCTTGGCGATACAGCGTGACGATTATTCCATGCGGACTTCTAATCGGCTTGGTATGATTGACCATAATCCTCAGAGGCAGGATATCGCCGGGCAGGCCTCCACCGCGAAGTAGTTTGGTCGTAGCCGTTATGGTACTGGAGTCCCTGGTGGTATTTGATTCGCTGATGATCTGGAAGCTCTGCGTGCTATTGCTAAGATAGCTTGAGGTGCTCTGTTCACTCGGTACGGGACTCAATGGAGGCTTTGGCTCGGATGTTTGCGAAGACGATGGCTCAAGGGATGCCGGGCCTGCAGAACCGTTGAACCCTCGTTCGGAGGTAGATTTCTTTCTTGATTTGGACTTTGACCTTGCGGATACGGGCTCGAGAGTGATTACACGAGCTTTGGGGGCAGGGAGCGGAGCAATGTCGATTCTCTCAATGAGTATCAACCGTTTATCGCAGGATATCGAAGGGGTTATGGTCGTCGGCCGTGTAAGGGTAGAGGTGATCATATATGATATAGTTCCACGCTCGAACTGCAAGAATGGTTAGAAAACCACACTGTAAGCAACACACAAGAGAGAGAGAGAGAGAGAGAGAGAGAGATAGAAGAGAGGGTCAAGGCATACATTGATACTGCTGGGCAGCGAGTACGGAGGGAAGCAGAGCTCGAATCTAAACTTATAGATTCCCTCTTTCAGCCTCCCATCGCCGCACAGCACTACCTCGTCCTCGAACAGGGAGGTGAAGCCGTTGCCCAAGTATTCACCATCTCTGCGTCCGCGCCCGGGTCCCAGGTATCCTGACTCCTCTGAATGTTCACCAGGGCCAACCGTGTTCTTGAAGACCTTCGCGTATCCATGTAGACAGACGACCAGATGCGTTATCCTGACGGGCTTTACTACGGTCAAAACCACCGCGCCCTTGACGATCTCTCCGGGGTGGTACGACTTCCACGGGTCGTCTGGCTGCACGTAGAACTCTGAAATATTGCGATTGCGGTTTCCGAAGCGGCTCGTCAGTTTCGACAGGATGGACCGGTGTCTTGTCGGCGGGACAGTCGAGGAGTCGATGGCATTTGTCTCGAGAGCCATGACAAGCCTCGACGCCCGCTCCGAAGGGAAGGGAACGGGCTTGCAGTCGTTTTCGTCCTATTTCCTTTTTTACCTATTTTATATATCCCCTTTCCTTATCTTTTCCTTACCCTCGCAGAGGGGAGAGAGGCGGTTGAAAATGTCGGTCGTTCAGGTGGTTACCTCCATAGGCCGGCTGAGGTAGCGCGAGTCCAGCTCGAAAGATGGCTACTCAGCCTTGCTTCCTGCTGAGCCGGTGCTTGTCCTCCTGCTTTTTTTCCCTCTCTTTGTTTCTCTCTTCGTTTGTTTTATATAGCCCTGTCTCTTCTTTTGAGATACCTAGTTTACCAGAAGGGCACGCGAGGACGACGGCGGTTCGGGAGAGGGTGTGAGTCGAGGACAGCGGACAAGGGAAACGGAGGAGGTTTTTTCTCAGACGACGGACGGTCAAGTGTAGTTATTTAGGGGTGGCGTGGAGTCGCAGGTGGCTAGATACTGGCTTCGAGGGCGGTTAAACAGGAGGAGGATGCCTGGTCTTATTATTCCCGGGATGCGGATTTTTCTTTTTGGCGTGTTCTAAACTACTGCAGAAGAAGCGACGGCAAGGGAGGCGAAGCTTCTTTTAGTTACTCCGTGCTCGTGTTGGTTGTTTCTGATGCAGCAGCGCTTTTAAGGGTGTAAGGAGAAGGGGGCCCGGCGTCCACGCTATCTGCAGAAGAACTAGAGAGATAAACCAGCAAGCAGGGTAGATGGAGACGAGGTGAAGGAAGATAGCTAGAGAAGAACGGTCAGGAGGAGGAAGAAGAAGGAAGGGGAAGAGGGGCGATAAGAGGAAGAGACAGCTGGCAGTAGGACGAGGCCGTATCAGACTACAACTTACTCTCTTAGCATCCGTTCTTATTAATTTAAAAAGGGACATGCATCAGAAAGCTTGACATCTGCGAAGATTACTTGGACCCCTTCTGCTCCATCGAAAGGGGGAGAAACTCTGGCCGGCTCGTATTAGTAATTCCACTTTGCGTTCCCTTAACACAACAAGCAACAAGTTCGACTCCTGAGCGGATAGACAAGTCCTCAGAGTAGCCAAGGGCGGGCTGGTAGTCAACACCAGGCAGCAGTGTTTTCCGTAGAATCGGGACAGTCCAAGAGAGGCCGCTGCCAGAGCAAAAAAGGGACCGGTGGAGAGGAGAAAGCTGCCACAAGGACAAGGGGGGGAGGTGAGAGGCAGAAGCCAGTGTAAACACGACCGGCTAATGCGCTCAGGGCATCCCCGACGAATGCGGACGCAACTCTGGACCAAGACGCAATGGCGGGTCAAGGCGAGTTGATAAGACGGCGTTCAACCGCTTAACCGGGTTGGAAAAATGCTTCGAAAAAGCTTGCCTGCCTCCGCCCAATGAACGGAGGAGCGAGATGGGGTTCATGTGCATGAAATGACATCTTGGAGGCCGTCCTGTGTGATGCCTCAGTTTCTTTCTCAACGCACTTTGCGACGTCTCGGTCTCGAGTGCAACCGGCTGACTAGTTAGTTGCTGATGATGCATGCAACTCGTCAACTTGGTCCCGGCCTGGTCGAGGGCCACCGTTTCACCCTTGCAGCATATAATGTACTTAACATGATGCTTTTTCTCCACCCTCCCTGTTCTTGTGCTTGCTCTGCCTGCTCTCCATCCACACGCACACACGCACATATCCATAGCCAACTTGTCTGTCGAGTCACCAGCAAGTACATGAATATATCGCGCAGGCTTCGCTGCCCAAGCAAGGGCGCCCGCCCTCCACTGCAAAATGCCTCCACAGAGCAAGGACAGCGCTAACCCATGCTTCTGCGGCCATTCCGCTAACTAGTCATTGGATCGCTTAACACGAGAGCACATTTGTTGTCGAAGCCTGTTTGTTGGCCCAGAGCACGCTGCGTTTATTGTTTTTGCCTTTCTTTTCTTCTTTCCATCTGGCTTTCCATCCGTCCCTCACTGGCTCAAAGCATAAAGCGGAGGAATATTTAGCGGTTTGTCGTCTCTGGCCAGCAAACCACGGCGCACTAGCTGCCCACCCTATCCGTTTGCATGCACCCTTGCGTCTTCGGAGGGTTCAGCATGGGTGAACTCGTGAGTTAGCGGGCAGTCCTGAGCTGATATTATGCGCTACTGCTTGGTTACTCCTGTAAAAAGCTCGCTGGGCCTTGGTCGGGCGCGGGTCAAGTGCCAACCTGCCCCTTTCGCGCTGTCCAGTTAGTAAGTACGGAGTACCTAGGCAACTAGTTAACCAGTTAGTTAGTTAGTTATGCTGGCCCAGGGTCTGTCTAGAGCACTCACCGGCCTTCTACCGTCCTTCAGCTCGTGTCTCTCTCTGTCTCTCTGGCCGATTAAAGTGTCAACTCGAGATGAAGTTGATGCGACGTCGAGTTTGACGTTTTGGAGTCGAAGGAGGGAAAAAGGCTTGCTCACGTGCCAAGAGTTGCTTGTTTTGCCCGATGGAGCTCTCCACACGAGCTTGTTTGTCTCTCTCTGTCTCGCGCATCGCTAACTAAGGACTATCACGGAGCAGATGGATGGGTACGGCGGGCACGCGAGAGACTCTGGAGAGATCGTCCTCTGGGGTGCTGGTCGATGTGGATAACTAGGCGCTGGGATGGGCGCGACAAGTGTGTCACTGTGGCGTGCATTTTGGGGGAGGACAGAGCCAGAGGACAGAGACAGACAGAGAGAGAGACAGACGTACAGGCAAGCCAAAGGAACTCGAGGCAGCCATGCGTTCGATTGGTCATGCACAGTGTCAGTGGCAGAGGAAAGCGTCTTCGGGCAAGATAAGGTGTGCTAGATGCAGGATGACGGCGTCTTTGGCGAGCAGCTGGGATACCAAGGGCTGAGGGCGCCGGGAAGCTATGCACTTCCCGTATGTCTAGACTCTGGCCGATTGACATCTGATACTCCCTCAGAAAAAGAATACCGAGCCTGGTTCTTGCCCGTATGTACCTGGACATCTAACTGGCTGGTTGACTGGGAGACTTCGAGCACGGTGGCCGGTTTTGAAACAGCTGTCGCCCTGGTTCATCCGGTCCATCCATCCATCCATCCAAAACATGAATATCAAGATACCTGCCCTGACCTGCCCTGCTTCCTCGCTTCCGCATACACGGAACAACAGCCCACTGCATACTCCCTAATTTACTACCTTTCGCCCCTGGTGTACTCGCCATGACGCTCACTACTGACGGAGACTTCCCCACTGGCCTGACGCAGGGACCGGCTCGTTAAATCTCTACCTTGGGTGATAGAGCTTATATTCTTTCTACACCAAAAGCTGTCCCGGAGACTCAACCAGATCTAGTAATGAATAGTTCAGATGCGAGTGTCCAGGACGGAGTACGCCCACGGTATCCGGCGCCATCTCGCCATGTTGGAAGGCGCATCTAGAAGAATCCCCTGGCAGGGAGACTTAGCCTAATTATCCCTGCAACACAACTGTCAAGCACACTGTTCCTTGAACACCTGGCAAAGATGCCTGCACACCGTTGCTTTCGCCAGCAGGCTATTCCCTGTCACCGTCTCCTCTGTCGAAAAGCCCAGTCGCATAGTTTCTTGGGCCATATACCAAGTATGCGTTATTGTTCACCATCTTGTCTCCACCAAAAACGGCCTTCAGGACGGGGATGTTTTAGGTTTTTTTTCGGATAGCCTTCCCATAGGAACGAAAATCTGCAAACAGTGCAGTATATCAACCAGCCGTCAGCATCGCTCACCATATAACGATTGAGAATTTTAGCCATCCTATTTTACCGGACTTTCCTCTGGCTAGGATGTGGCGCATTCAATCCAGGTCAAATAACTAACTACGCTTAAAAAACATCAGGCCTACAGCGTGTTTCCCATTTCAAGCTATACAACTAGCTAACTAATCAGGTGGAAGTTTCATGGATAACATAGGTACTGTCAAGTCCTCACCTTGACTATCGTCTTTTTCTCTTACCGAAGGCCAGTCAAAATCATTCCAGACAGCCCAGCTTCTCCCATCTTGATACCACAAGGGATATCTCGATTTCAATCAACAAACCACACTACCTTGGCTTTTACTGTATAGTTAGCTGGTCTTGAAAAGAGGGGCAGTCAATAATTTACGGCGGACGGTTTGGTACAGAATCTCGAGCGAAGCTACCAATGCGGATTGAAGATATGGTCAACTGATTATACCTTTACAGACACAGATCATGACCATCTAGTCTTTTCACCGTATTTCCACTACTCCAGCTACTCTCCATTGGGGCATTCGTTAAAAGAGTAACACTGCACTCCGTTACGCTGCCAACGTTTATTCCCGGCCGGCCGCATACCCCTGGGCAGGCTTATCGGAGTAACACTGATAAAACTTGGAATGTACTACTGAAGCTCTCACTGCCTTTCCATGCTTCTATGTTAGATGTGAAGAGAGCAGTCTTCTCCTCGCCTGCCAGATCATACCGTTGGTCCGGGTAGTACATGACTAGCCGTGGCCCCTTCTACCTTGAATGCGTTTGGGGAACTGAGTATTACCTTGGAATATAAGGTATGCCAATACCCGTCGCAGCACAGGAGTGGCCGCATGACAGACCATAAGTGTACTATGACGAGCGATCTCACTTTTCTCATGTACTCAGCTGAGAGTACTTTACTCAGTCTCCAGTTCTTCTTCTCCTTTTCTTTTTCACCGCCCAGTCCGGGATAATCCAAGCAAGCCACAGGTACAATTAATGCCGTCTATCTTTCTCACAAAGGAGAACGCATTACGCATCCACTCTTTCTAGGCGAGGTGCATGCCTTCTTGCATAAATATTCAGCCCGTTTGGGCTCACAGCAGCTGCCGATGCCGCGAATCTGTATCGCAACATTACCTCTCAGCGAATAGATGAACTTGAAATGCGACTGGAATCTCTTACTTTTCCTCACTCAAACCCGCAGTGCGCGACCCGGCATAACGATTACCGATTACAGGAGCTAAATAAGCCCAATTCTTCGTCTTAACACGTGTAACATACGGGTTCACGGCTCTCTTATCTTCAAGTGAATGCGCCCAATTCCGTACACGACCGAATAAAGCGCTTGCTAGCATAACCCGGCCAGCGTATGCAGGTTATTGCTAGTTATGTCTAGGACTACTACCCGTTTGAAATATCATATGGAATACTTCCATGTCCGGCCAAAGCCATGTACATTTATGTATCTTTACTACTATGCTATATATTGTTGGGGTCACAAACTGGCAAACTTTCTGAGGATTTGCGTCCCTTGGTGACATCAAATGTTCAATCTTATTGGTTAAGGTAAGACAGAGAACGGCATATTTCCTTTCCTCAGATCTCTACACGATGCATCTATATATTATAGAGCATGATTATTTATTCTGAAATAAAATTGTCATCCTTCCTACCCTGAAACGGAGAAAGATTATACCCAACCATTCCCCTTCTCCTCCAAGTGTCTTATCGCTATTTCTTCACAAAGTTTTATTCAATAACTATGAATCTCGAAGAAGAGACTAAGATTTTGAAAAGCTGCCAGGCTCGAGTGCAAGAGTCGTCGGTATCCTTTGAGGATCATGATGAAAGCCTAGGATCGATACCAGATAATGTTCCCAACGGAGGACGCAATGCCTGGATGCAGGTCATGGGTGCCTTTGTTCTTACACAAAATACATGGTAAGGCAATTTTTCTCCTGTATAACTATCTTTTGCTTCCACAAAGCATTACCTGATACTCATCATTCAGGGGCCTTGTGATGACTCATGGAGCTTTCCAAGCAAGCTATTCTAAAACTGTCCTACAAACTACAACCCCATCAGCCCTTTCATGGATTGGCTCAGTTCAAGCCTTCCTTATCCTCTTCGTTGGGCTTTTCTCTAGCAAGGCAGTCAACTCGAATCATTTCTATCATGTTACAGGGGCAGGACTGCTATTGCAGATTATAGGTCTTGCCATGACCTCCCTTAGCATGGAGTACTACCAGTTTTTCTTAGCCGAAGGGGTGTGCGTAGGTATCGGATCCGGCATGCTATTTGCACCCGGAATTACACTTGCAGCATCCTACTTTTCAACAAAACGTCCCTTGGCTATTGCCGTTGTTACTTCTGGGGCTGCTACAGGTGCGTCACTTCTGCACTTGGTTACATCCTATCCTACCTTATTGCAATTCTAACTTTGAATGCAGGTGGCATTGTTTTCCCAATAGTAAGCTACTGGCTTATTGTTGCTGTCGGTTTCCAATGGGCTGTGCGGATAATTACATCCCTTGTGCTCCTAGCTTCGGGCACGACTCTCTACACTCTCCGACCATACCGTTCTTCAATTTCCCGAAAAGAAGAGCCATATATCAGCCTTAGTGGGTTCAAAGATGCCAGCCACTGTACTTTTGTGGTTGGAGCAACTTTGGGGCTCATCGGCGGCTTTATTCCATTCTTCTACATCCCAGTATATGGTCTTGCTCTGGGTTTAAGGGTCGAACTAGCCAGCTACTTCCTAAGTGCAATGAATGTGGCAGCCCTGATAGGGGGCTTTGCTCTGACAATTCTGGCTTCTAGGTCAGTATTAGTATGTGCATATCCAAGCAGGTGAAAGGTTCACTAATTTCAATAGGGTTGGAAATCTAAACACGGCCATTTTATTCACAAATGTCAGCGGAATTATCTTGTTTTCTCTGGTACTCGCGCAAGATCCGGTGGGGGTCATTATAGGATCTTTATTCTATGCTCTAGTAGCTGGTTATCAGTTAGTACTCCTATTCTCAGCGGTAGCATCCATCACTATCGACACCAGCCCAAGATGTAGCCAGGGCCGTGTAGGCATTATCCTTGGCTCCCTTGGTGTCTTGGTTGGCACTCCTATTGCTGGTGGTATTGTATTCAATCATAACAGCAACGCACACTCCATGGATCCCCGGGACTGGAACTTTACTTTGGCCTTACTCTTGTCCGCAGCACTCACTTTCATGTGCGGTGCACTGATGACCGTCACCCGCATTCTCAAAAGTGGTTTCCGATGGGAGAGAATTTAAGGGAGATAATAGAGGCCAGCGGAGGGGTATTTGCTGTATTTTATGACGGTATATGCCAGTTGGCCTCTGTATCAACCTTCTGCTTGATTATTTCCATCTGTCTTAACTCCCGTTGTTGAATTTCATTTCATATCAGCCCGAAGCCTTGGCGAAGATGTAAGCCTCTCTAAGTCTTTGCAGCAAGTGATGATGAATATCAGACTTATCGAGATGACTATTGATTAATGCTACCTCTGAGATTACCCAAGGGCACTAATGTCTTTTCATAGCTAACGGCATAGATGTCACACACCAGATTCCTGTCTGCGCATCAAATGCACCTCAAATAACCATTGAACTAAACGACGTGGGTTGGAAGAAGCTGTTGGTCTACGATATAAGGCTATCATGGCCATATTCTCCTTCTTTTGTAAGAAAACAAAAGTATTCCCTAGTGAAAGGATACTTTTAATGTGCATCGCAATAGCCCCGTACTTGAAGCAAAGCTCGTCAAATTAGTTCATTGGTACTGTCGAATTAAAGATATGCTTAGCACGAGTCAATCCATGGTCCCAGACGGTACAAGACCTAGTGGAATTATGGTTGTCGTAACCATGATGCATCCGTGACTCAAGGAAGAGCTCGTGCGTACTCGCATCACACAGTTTCCATTAGTTTAAATCTTTGGGAATGGCTGTAGACTTTTATACCTGGTATTCTTGCAGTTTTGGCTGGGTATAAAAGATGGTATCAGAAACTTCCCCTGAGAGGGTGGAAAAATGCTTCGTGCCAATGACAACCCTAGCCATAATAAACTGGCTGATAACACAGTAATAGCCCCCATCAAAGTGGCAGGCATCATTTAGTCCTATGCACAACTAGTGTAATAATGCATGTAAGTGAATGTAGCCGCGTTTGTCGTTTTCCCTTTTCGGCGTTGTCCCTTAACTAACTGAGGGAATGTTGCACGTGATATATGTGGCGGTGCAAGTTGAGGCGCCCGTATTAGTAACGGTCTGGCCGTGGTTGGCTTTCCGAGATCTCCCGCTGGAAAGTCACCCCACAGGCCCAGCATCATCCATCATCGTCACCATCACAACATCCATGACCGATGCTCTTCGCAGCCCGACCGGCCAGAATACAATTCAATACCAAAAAGCAGACCAGAACGTTGCAGGCGCCTTTCGGACCGTAACACTCGCTTGCATGAGCCTAACACGACGATCTTCGCTCTTTTCCTTGTGATCCGTGAACTCACCAAAGAAAAATTTATATCACATAGACGCCACACGAGCAGAGTGATTTAATACAGCATCGCCAATAACGCAACACGGTTATCGATATCAAACCGAAGAAAGTCGTACACGCGTGTCTACAATCATGACGACCAACAGGCCTTTTTTAGCCAACTTCCTCGCGGCCTTTAGGGCACAAACCACATACAAAACAGCGCCTTCAAAACCGCCTTCCCCAGGCCCATCGTCATCACATATCAGTTCTCCTTACTCCCCGCCATCCTCCTCTTCAAACACAGCCGGGGCTCGAACAATATCCAGCAAGGCTACGGCAAACCCAGCGCCTTCAAGTTCGTCGCAATCCAATACCAACACTATTGCTGCCGCAGCAGCCGCTTCGTCAACATCGAACCATTTCTCCTCGCATCACCACTCTCATCACCATCATACCCATGCCCATTCTCATTCACATACTCCATCTCCTTCATCACGAGCACCTGTAAGCTCTACCAGTCACGCAAGCTCCTCGGCAACAGCCACAACATCGACAGTTTCCAATTCAACCACCTCTCCTATACCAGTTCCAACATCCCCATCTTCAACTTCTGCAGCCCCATTTTCATCATATGATCGGAATAGACGGGGAAGTGATAGCAGTAGTGGTAGTGGAGGGTTCAGGGATGCTTTAGGGCCGGAGAAGTGGTATATTGGTGGTCGAACGATAAGTGGAGAGGAACGATTATATCAACTTGGGATGGTTACCAAGGGCGGTGGTAGGCTAGGAGGTGGAATGCGTGTGGGCAGCGTTGACCAACTAAGCCTTTAACATGGAACCGGAGAAGCATAGAATACTTTGGCCTCTAGTTAACGAAAGCTGGAGGCATAAAGCTCTGTTTCTACAGCCATGACCCGGGTTTTTTTTTCTTTTTTATGAAGCTGGGGCGTTTACCTTCCTGGTGATTTTTTATCTGTGTTTTACATTAAGGAAATATCATTGTAAAACATTATCGGCGGGTATTTTTGGGTGCGGTATAGAATCTATACTTTCCTTTTCGTTTTACCTTTTCTCTTCGACACTATACTCTCAGCATGTACAAAGTTAGCATAAAATGCTCAGATTTCTGTACTTATATTACCTTTCAATGGTCTTCTATGGCATCATTCTCTATCGGCTTCCTAGGCCAACAACTCTAAACCAGTACTTCACATTTAGTCATAAAAATTGTCATGATCTCACCCATGAATCCGGATGACAACGTTTAACCACCCATCAGCATATGCCGCACACCGCACCACCTCCTCGACGGGTGCATTCATTGGGACTGCAGCTCCATGTAAAATAGGCGTCGCCGTACTTATATCTTTATCATCCGGGAATAGGCTGGGTACTATAGAATGAAGCGCCGTTCCGATGGTTTGTGTTTGCTTCTCGGTTCCTTCTGGTGCTGAGGCCGCTATTTTTGGTGGAAACTGAGACTGCACAACTTTGATGGACGATTTCCCAGGCTCCGCCGTAATAGGAAGATATGCTCGCAATGGTATATTGCGGAATGGAGTGGATAGATTCGGTAGGAGTGTATTATTAACCCGATGGAAGGCTTGAAAGGAGTCTAGAAGATGTTAGACATTTAACAGGTTGACACATGATGGATAAGGGGATGAGATACGTACGCTCTTGTATGGATGTCCAGAGCTTATTTGAATCTTCTCTTGAAAGCGCCATAATGCTCTTTCCAGTGCCGTTGCGAACAAAATCCGCCTCCTTGACACTATTCATGAAGAAGTCATGCATAACCCTCCCCTCTTCATCAAGACCAACAAGTTCCTGATCAGGCCAGTCTTGAAAATGTAATGTTAACTTCCATGGCAGGTTTTCCCGACATGTATACCTTTGATCTCTATCATCATCTTTCCCTTGTGTTGGCTCCGTGCTGGCGTATAGATCGTAAAGCAAGCCCACGGGGTAGTGCCATTTCAGCGGAACTCCTTCGAACTCGAACCAGCCTTGGTATGGGTATACGGGGTCAGAGCCAATAAGATATGGTTTGAAGAAGTCAAGTAGCCTGGGTAATAGGAATGGTAGATATGACAGACGAGGGAATGATATCTACATTTTTCGTCAGCGTGAAGGAATGTCGAGAGTAGGTATATAAAGTTGGATGTGTGCTATACAATATATGAATCCGCCTTATCAAATACTCTGCACTCTGACTTTGATAGAGTTATCTGTAGTGGTAGACAGCCTTCCCAAACCTGTTGCCTGAGGGTTTGTGAGGTCGCAGCCATAGCTGGTTCAAGATCTATACAGCCCCTCACAAAGGTTGTAGCAAAAGAACTTAAATACCCTCAGCCGCTTAAGTATGACACGTTGAAAAACGGGCAGAGGTCGCTAGAGTCATGGTCTGTTATCTCAGTCACCGTCGAGGTATTAAAATCAGCTACAAATTGATATACTGATGTTGATACGTTTGTTTGTCCCGAGAGAGAATCAAAATGCACGTGACCACCGCAAAACACTTAGAAAGATACCAGTAAACCAATATCAATATCACAAAAGATATTAAGTAGACTGTTAAATGAAAGGCCAACGGTTAGCTTAACTTCTATATTATAGACGTGCTTCTAGGCGTTTATACTCCAACCGCGTACATAAACGCCAATCGCGGTGTTAACCAATTGCAGGAGGTTCATTAGTTATCACCTCAGAGTAGACGAGAAAGTGAAATATATGGATAGCGAAATACAATTCTATACACCTCAACATCATAAACCCCGTCTTTTAAACTAAGAGAGTGTAAATATACAAAATCGCCTCAGCTCTAATTCTAGCTTCCACTCCACCCAGCATGAAGCAAGACTCTTAGAATGGCTATCAAAACGTTACATCGTTAGCAATCAGACCAATAAGGCGAACATGATAAAGCTGCAGCGGATAGAAAAATGGGGAAAAGACGTACGTTGTCCTCTGGAGCAATAGATCTCTCCCAGTAACTTCCGATAAGAGGAATGTTCATAAGGATATCTTCCCGGACACGTGGGGTATCTCCAAGGAAGAAAACGGCGAAGATACCGGTTGCAGTGCCCAAGGCGGCTGCCATTGGCATCCTATAAATTGAAAGCATGGATATTAGCGGATCGGAAGTCCAATGGCCACCGCCACATTCCACCATCTGTTTCGAGACAGAAAGGATCACGTCTCCAGCCAAATTGACAGCCACCTAACTTACATTCTCATGCCCTGGGTGACAGTGAATCCGGCAACCTTGGTTGGGACGGTGTATCTATATGTGAAAAAAACCGGTAGGATCAGCCCTTCTGCTCGTGTGTTCCAGTATCGAATGTTGACATCATGGCTCTCGTCTGGCGACTTACTTGGGCGCATATGGGGATCGGTAGGAGCCGAATGGCCCAGCGGGGGTGCGAGGTACTTGGGATGCCTGTTTAATAGCGTTAGTTAGACCGGACTCGGGGAAATATTGGAGAGCTGGCGGCTGTGCTGTGAGAGACGGAAGATGTTGATGATGAGAGCGAGTTGAATTTCTCAACAGCCAACGGTCTGCTAGAGCGGACCCAAAGCGAGGACGAATCAATGGGTTTAATAGGGCGTGATTGACCGACATACCATTTTATATGGATCTAGCGAGTGTCTGCGACGTCGATAGAGACAGCAATTCAATCAAACCGACGTTCATCGCTTTGACTTCCGTTTTCTTCCATGACAAGAGGTTTTTGGTATGCTGAGTAAGCGTTGATTTATCACGTGATTATTTGCTTAGTCATTATAACCTTCTAGCGACATTGTTATGTGACTGCGATATCCAAAATGACGTTCCAAAAAAGTACAAAAAGTGTTGAGTGAAGGTAGTTTAATTTGCTTTCATTTCAGCCAGTCTATAGAATACGTGGGACATACAAATTGATTTTTTCAAGCCATTAAAAGGCCGGATGTCAAAGAGGAGCCGAACAAGGACGTAAGAACAAACAACAGGCAAAAAAGACATACAATTTCGTAATTGCGGTCGCATTGCATCATGGGGACCGGGGGCAAGTGCAAACGAACAAATGGCCGAAGATTTGCAACGACGAGTCATGTAAAAAGTATGTACATTTGACGTGGCTGTAGGGAGAAGTGAGAGAGAGTTATACTCTACCTCATCAACCCGCCGACAACCTTTCCTTATGTAAATGATGTTCGAGGCATGTCAGGACCTGCTTTCAAATTCCTCTTCTAATTCCATCTCATCATTCCTTTGAGCCCTGGTGAGGCTTAGGCAAAGGTCTCAAGTGTCGTGAGTGTTGGGGTATCAAATTGGTCTGGTCGTCTATTGTCGTGTCAAATCGCCGAAGTGTATGGAAACCGCACGCAAGCAAGGGTATAAACATAGAACGCAGCATGCGTGCAGCAAACGTTGTCATCGACAATATACCGAGAGGTAGATAGTCAGTGCGAGGGGAGCATCGAATAAACAAGCCCGTAGGCAAGGAAGGAAGGCGGTCAAGTCCAAGCAAGGAAGCAAAGGTATCGCAGAAAAAGAGAACCCGAGCAAGCAAGCAACAAACGTCTTGAAAAAAAACGATCAATTGAACAAATTATGATATAACACTGACGATTTTTCTTTTCTTTTCTCTCCCCGTGAACCAAAAAGTAAAGCCCAAATGTAAGATATCAATCGCAAGCCGCCCTCCGTGTATGTAATGAGCGAATTAAAGCAAGACAGTAAACAAACAAGACGACAAACAGGAACGATTCGCATTATCCCCAAAACGAAAGGAAGTCTTCCGTTTCTATGCCAAACAGTGCTTTCCACCGATGAAATGAGCTTTTTTTCCTCCCTCTCCGCCGATTTTTCTCCGAAAGGAAAAGAAGTGAAAAAGGGAAAAGAAAGAAAGGAAAAAGTACAGATCGGGGGGGGGAAGAAGACACGTATTGAGACATATTTTCCAGACGAAGGAAAATAGGGGAATAATACAAGTAAGCCAAAAGGGAAAGAAAGTGTATAGGAAAAAGAGCAATAAAAAAGAGTAAAAAAAAAAAAAACAGGGGGTAAATCCTCGTCTAATGTTCTCACCGATGTATGCAGCAGATATAACGAAATAAGGTAAGCAGTAAACAAAAAAAGAACGACAAACTCCTTACTTGGACAAGATAACGAAAGGGAAGACCGTTGCAAAACAAAATCCACAGAGAGGAAGGAAGAGAGAGAGGGTAAGAAAAAAAAAGAGAAAATAAAATGCTCCACCCGAGTCTATAATGCTGGTTTCCATTGGCTTCAATTTGATGGCGATGTATGTTTTTTGTTCTTTCTTGTCGAGTATCCGGACCGTGCCCCGCACGGGCGCTCGACCGCTAATTGACTGTATGAGACGGAATGTATTAAGGAGGAAGGTCGAGATCAAAAGGGAAACGAAAAGCTGTAAAGGATTAATAAGAGAAACTCGTTCACAATTCGGCCGTCACAGAACTCTAGATAAAGAATTGGTATCGAAATAGGCGGAATCCGCTATCATCGTCCGTTATTGTCTAGCTGACTGAACAGATCCTGTTGATGTTATGTTAGTGGGTCCATTGCATACTGTGGCTCTGTTTTGGGGTATGGGGGTTGAACGCACCATCTCCGCTTAAGCTGGTGGATGCAAGGTAAAGACCGTTCAAACCACCATTTTCCTGCTGTCCGGCAGTGGTGGCAGGATAGTACTTGCGATCAGCATCGACATGTGCATGCATTCCGTCATTAACTGGCGTCATAGATGTAGGGTAGACTGGTGGCGCAGGCATGTAGTTCTCATGCGAGCCCGGCTGGAGGACAGTGGTCCAGTCAATGTTCTGCTGCGGCTGCTGAGGGTGAGGGTGCTGTTGTGGTGGATGTTGGGGAGGAGCCTGTTTGTTATCGGAAGTAATCTTAGCATCGATCGGAGGAAGAGCAATACTGGTCGACTGGCCAACAGAGTCAGTTCCAGGCTGCATATGGAACGACGAAGAGTTGTGTTTGGGATCAGCCATCCAGGTTTTCTGATGCTGCTGCTGATGCGGAGGGTACTGGGCAGTAGTAGTGCCGGTATGAATCTGCTGGTCCAACGGACCACGAGCCAGGCCGCTACTACCGCTCTGCACCGCTGGCGCATGAGAAGGCATATGATAACCGAATGGCTGATGTTCTGCGAAGCGGGGTTGCTGGCCAGAAGCCATTGTAACCCCATGCCCGCTCGCGGGCGCTTCACCAAACGTAGTACCACCAATACCATTGGGAAGTGAGATGGGGTTACTAACATCACCCTGATTCACCGGTTTAGGCACAACCCCCGCTGCCTGAGCCTTCTTAAGATGAGCATGTGGGTGAGACAAGTGGCTGATTCCGGTAGGATTGCCTCGTCGAAGAGAGCACTTCTGGAAATGACGTTTGAGGATGTCGCTTCGAGAGAAGGTGTCTTTGCACAGAACACACATATAAGGACGGTCACCAGTATCTGGAAATCACGTTAGAATTGAAATTTTACTCATTTTTTCTTTGTTTTTCAAACAAAGGGGCGTGATGAAGGAGCACGGGGGTGGGAACGGGAGAGTTATTTTATGTTTATCAACTTACGGCGCAACAGATGTCGCTTAAGATGCTTTGCATGGAGATATGTCTTATTGCAGTGTGGGCAAGGGAATTTGCCATCAGCATCCTTAGCTGGAATAGCGGTTCCTTTGGCAGTGCCGTTTACACCGTTGGTGATAGCGGCACGACCCGGAACGCTGGGAAGAATACCTCGTCGACCTTGGGAGCCAACAACCTGAGTTCGTGGTGCATCCTTGGTCTGGTAAGCGGTAGCTGGGGCAGACATTGCATCAGGGGCCGCCCACATTGAGCCCTTGTCCTCGGCTCCGGTGAAAGGAGCACCGGGCATGCCGTACTCGTGCCGTCTATCCCGTGGTGGAGCTGGTGCAATTGGCTGAGGATAGGCCTGGGGACCGGTCGTAGGCGGCAGCAGGCCATGTGAAGGGAACTGCTGCTGCGGCTGCTGGTGCTGGCCCAAGAACGAGGCTGGTGGTAGGCTGTTCACGGGAGCGTGTGTGGCCATTGGCGCGGTCGAGGCAGCATAGACGTCATGAGCAGAGGTGACGGGATACCTGGGCATATCATTTCGAAACGGCTGGCCGAGATATGATGGCATTGGGGAGTGAGACTGGGGGTGCTGGAGAGGAGGGAGAGTGTGTGGCTGCGGGACCTGATAGGGCGAGTGAACCTGATACTGGTGAAGATGCGACAATGGGGGAGGTCCCTGTGGAGGGATCGAGGCTGACGCGGGCCGCGAGACTTGCGTTCGAATATTCTGATCCATGACAAGAGTGGCTGGCTTGGGTTGTTTGGTTTATGGCCGTAAAAAAGTAGAAGCAACAGGTTTTATGCTATCTCCCAGCAATCATTGATCGGTCGATTTCTCTTCCAGGCGTGAGGGAGAGAGAGAGAGAGAGAGAGAAAGGCGGTGTCAATATCGACCGGCAGAATTGGAAATCCTGAGGATGGAAGAGACCCCTGAAGCGCGCGTTAGCCGAGTTATTGTTCTTCTTTTTCTTTCTTTTTTCTTTTCTTTTCTGCTTTCTTCTCTGCTCTACAGTGATTTCTTCAGCGTTGACGAACCTGTAAGGACAGTGAAAATGCAAGCAGCAGTGGCTTTCGTCGCCGAAGTCGACGTTGGTGGTGACCGATTTGATAGTGGAGCGCAGAGCTATCAGAGAAAAAGATCGATGGTAAGTGCCCTGTTGCAGATGCGAGGTTCTGTACCCACAACGGAAAAACGACGAAGCAAGCAAGAAAGAGAGAAGAGATGGATGGGTAAGAAGTGGTCAAGGGACAGCTGGTTTTTCTCGAAGGAATGCAAAGAAAGAAAAGAAAGAAGAAAAGTCAGGAATGGAGACCAGCGAAGAGGGTCCAGGAGGGGTAGAAGTAAGTAAGGGCGTTCAGGAACAAAAGGGAAAAAACTGGAGAGGTCGTAAGTTTAGGCTTGAAGAAAAAATTAAGGGAAGCAAGAGAAGAGCGCGAGAGAGAGAGAGAGAGAGCAGGCGAAGATGCACTGAGCGATGATGCTATAATGCCGGATGGGTGGGCATCATCGTCTTTTTTTCTTTTTCTTTTTTTTTTCCTTTTTTTTCTGGCCCTTTCCTAGGATAACTTTCCTGGGAGGACTTTTTAGCCTTCTCCAAGTCTTCTTTTTTTCTCTTTCTTTTCTTTTTCCTCTCTCTCTGTTTTTTTCTTCTTCCTATCTTCTTCTTCTCCCAAGAGCGCGGAAAGATGATGCTCTGTATCCACCAGGCAAGAGAGAGGTGGGTCTTCCTCCAACCAGAGATATAAATATATAAATTTTTTATATCTTCACACAACGGAGGTAGCGTGGAAGCAGGTGAAAAAGAGGTGAGAACAGGTAGAAAGAGAGAGAAAGGCCATGAAGAATCGCAGGCACGGACAGGGCTGAAGGCGAGGGTTCAGACGGCGAAGATGACGATACCCGGGCGTACCTCCGAGCGAGGTTCCCTGGTTCGACGTGTGTTGCTTTTTTGTGCGCGTGGCAAAGGGTGAAGGAAATCGGAGTCAAGGAAAGGTAGAAAAAACAATGGTTGGTGGTTACGTGTAGGAAGTGTGTTGTAGTTGTTATCTTCGCCTCTCCTTCATATCTGGCTCTCTCTCTCTTCTCTCTTTTGGTTTGTATAGGGTTGTAGGGCAGAGGAAAGGAAATCTGGTTGCTGGGTGCTGGGTGCTGGTAACGACAGGGGGAGCCAGCAGCTTATGGATCCGCCACATACGTCGAACCGTTGGACGTGGCTTGCAGCAAATCTCTTCTCCTGCTGCGTGCGGGTCGATAAAAGGAAACGGTACAAAAGAAAGAGACTTACCAAGGCAGAGATGGGATCGCGATGCCAACGGAGGCCTGGAGACTGGAGATGAAGCGAGTCCCCGAGGGTCTTAGGCGGGAGGTGGAGGGGGGAGGGGGGGTTTGTTTGCTGTTTTCGAAGGCTGGAGTAAGCGGAACTTGGACTGGTCTGCGGCTGAACAACCACACAATTGCGCGATCTGATAACGCTTGACGGCGACAGGCGAGACACGCAGCAAGAGACGTCTAAAGCTGAGAGAGACGAAGAAACTGAAGAAGCTGAAAAGAGACGAAGACGAGGTTGGAGTTGAAGTTGAGGTTGCAGAAAGGAAAAAAAGAGTCGAGCGCGTTAAAGAGAAAAATAACAACAACAGGAAAGGAAAAGAAAATAAAAATAAGACAGAGCGGAAGAATTCCCGAGGTGGGCGTGGGCGTGGGCGTAACGCGGCGGTGCGTGGGCGGCGGCGGTACTTCCTCTTTAGCGGTGAGACCCGTGCCACCCGAAGTACCTCTTGTTTTTTTGAAAGTGGAACGACCTCCTATTTTACCATCACCATCACCACATATACGGAGTGCTACTTTATATCAAATATACTTATAACGGGCAATATAAACAACAGGCATATAAATAAAAGGAGGGCCAGCAGCTTCACCAGTATATTCGACGATGAAACAGGACCCGGAAGGGACAGCTTGCCCTCGCTCCCAGATAGCCGCTCAGCGCAGCCTCCGTCAGACAGCTACACGGAGAGACACGACGAGCAAGGAGCACAAGGAGCACAAGGAGGTGCTGTCACGTACCGCCCGGATTGTCCGATAAGGCGAACAACAGTCGTAACCCAAAGGAGAGAGAAACTGCAAAAACAAAGGGGGGAAAGGGAGGGATAAGCAGGGTAACTTTTTTTGAAGAAGAGAAGAGGAAAAAGAAAGGAGAAAGACACCAAGTGCAACTTCCTTATCCTTGACCTGGCTTGGATCTGCGAATGGGATTGCTGCCTGCAACCGCCAGAAACAGCTCACACCCTCACGAGTCACCACATGGCCGAGTTATGCTGTCAGGTTCTCCTTACGTGTTGCCAGAGACTATACTCGCTCAAGGGACTCGTTTTTTGATACCCGATTGTCGATGCGTTTGAGAGCTCCCTTTCAATTTTTTTTTCCCTTTCCCTTTTTCCCTTTTCTTTTCTTTTCTTCTTTTTTTTTGTATTTTTTGGCTTTGTACGGATGAGTACCCTTTCGCCCGGACATCGTCGCTAGGGGGAATGGATGCGTGTTGCATGCGTTTACTGTCTGTGTCAAGAAGAGGATACTACCCTCATTTCACACTGCGCTAATCTCGGAGCTCTGAGAACGAGTGGTGGCCTTTTCAAGGTTTCGTTTTCTGCTTGAAAACCCCCGAAACGTGCATTTGATGATGGCATTGGATGTGAACCCTGCATGAGAATCCTATTACTGATATACGGAGTATATACGGAGCAGCGAGCTGCTACTTTGGGGCGTCCTGAGGCTGTACTCCGTACTCCGTACACCGCACACCGTGCAAGTGTCGCTGGCCGTTGTCCGCCCGTATCGTTGCGAAAACGTGCTCTGTTGGTTGTCTCTTCGACGGCGAGGGAAGCCAACGGTGATCTTCATGGGAAATAACTATTACTCAGTACTGGATAGTATTAATATAGTGTTGTTATTATTATTATTATTATTATTATTATTATTACTCCGTACTATTATTACTATTACAATCCTTACATTGTAACGGCAAACTCGCCAGGAATGATTACTATTTCTGGTCTACCCCTGGAATTGAGAAAGCGGCTGTGACGAAACATGTTGACTGATAGCCCAAATGACTAGGTCGGTCAGGCAGGGGCCTGGGGCGGCCGGTGACCGCAGAGCTGCACAGCTGCAGAGGCTGTGTTGCAGTAATTCATCAATTGCACGGTTGTTTACTCCGTAAGTATTCAACGAGCTGCCTCGAGACGAAGACGAGCGCCTCCTGGAGGTTTTAACTGTTGCTAGAAGTCATAGGTGGAGAGAGACGCGGTTAACGCTCCTGGCTGTTTGGTTCGGATAACGCTTCCCTTGCGGAGAACTACGGAGCAGCATCCCCATTCCATGCATACAGGGTCAGGCCAGAATGAACATGCAAAAACAGGGTCATGAAAGAAAGCAGCAAGAAAGCAAGACATGAAATAGACTCGCACAGAAACAACAAAAGAAAAAAGAAGCCCCGAAAAGGAATTTCCCCCAGAGCAATAAAATATGACTTCGCACATTTTTGGAACTGTGCTAACAAATAAAGTGAAGCGTCGAGGGGTGAAGCAGTGCAGCGCAGCGCAGCGCAGGCTACTATTCAGTGCAGACATTACTTATCCACAAGCGGAAACCCGGAAAAAGCAATGGAGCAAGACCACGGACCCTTGCTAGAGGGCCATATAGAAGCCTCATCGAAGGAGCATCGAATCACACTAACCGCCTCCTGCTAAGGCCCTGAGCGAAGACCTTCGCGGTTTTCTGCTGGGTAGTCTGTTTGATCTAGCAGCGGCATGATGGTTCAGATGCCAATGGCGCCATCAATAAAATATTTCCCGTTATCAATCTTTTTCCCTATCGGTTAGACGGCACAAGACGAATTAATTGAGTTCGTTTCTCAGCAGAAACGAGGAGCGGGAGAGAGCCATCCGGGTCGTAAAGTCGGCATCTACGGAGTGCGCATCCATGGATTCAATTTTGCGCGGTTGAGAACCGCCACCCCTCACCAGCACATAATTTGGTATATCTTCAAAAGTAATATCCAGTTGTCATAGATAGCGATGGGCCTCTCTACAGCAGGTACAGAATGTTCCTCTTGCCTTTATATCTCTCGCTGTACTCCGTACCCAGCAAACAACGTTAGGTGCATCCCCACTGATTCCCAACGTTGCGGAAACCATCTTAAGCTTAAACAGACGCTGGTGGATGGGTGGAGGGAGGGTACACACATTACATTCTGACTGACATAACGGAGTACTTGCACACGGCGGGATGAACGGTCAACGCCCCTTTTTGGATCTTTTCTGCAGGCCATAATAATGGGCATTTTGATGGGGTCTGGAGATGGAGACCAATAATGGAGATGATTTTAAGCTATCATCTCTTGAGTTCGACTTCTCGTTCGTGCAGCGGTGGACTCTGCGCCTGCAGAACCTAAAGGAACGTGCGTTCATCCAGCTCATTCAGCAGCCAAGCTGGTTTGATATCAAAAGAGGCGTACGGAATAAATACGAAGCATCCTTCCGTCTGCCACAATCATCAGCGAACACTCGACCGAATAACGTGCCCTACACATGGACGCAGAGAGAGTAACCATATGTAAGAGTAAGTACCCTGTGAAATTTGCCGTAGGCTAAAGCCAAAATAGATTAACGATCCTGCTCGAGCGAAAGGTTGCAGCTTGCTATTCCTATCTCAACCTGAAACGAAAAAGGAGATACGAGAACGACGGGAGGGTAGCTGAGTTACACTCCTCACCTTCGCGAAAATCGATAGTTCAGATCGTGGTAGCATCATCCCGAACCCTCTCAGCCAAAAGATTCGCCCATTCGTCCACCATCCCTTCCCTTCACCCGCTCTCGTATATACGTTGGATGAACAATATTCCGGGGTTGTCGATTAAAGGGGGGAAGAAACGCTAACACGCCCTTGAAATTCATATCCTTCTCTCCGGTTCTCCATTATCAGCATCACTTTGAGCATGCAGCCTTCTGACTGGAAGATACAGGGTTTCTTTCACGTTCGCCAACTAAATGATTAGATGACTAGACCATATACCATCATCCAACGCGAAAAGTCATAATAAAATCATGGAATAATAACATCGTAAGACGAAAAAAAGCCGAAATTTCACCAGCAAAAAGAAATGCCAAGACTTGACGTTCTGAAGGCGTGCTTACATAAACCACGCTAGTGCTGGTTTAGGTCGCGTACCTCGGTGAACTTTCCCGATTTGGCACGCTTCGCACGCCAGTTGCAAAAAATCATATCAGGTTTTGAAATACCTGCAAGTGGTAGCGAATACCCAAGTACGATGTACATACGATGTCTGATGATGTGATGAGATGGCGCAGCTCGCGAGCCGATGTTACTCCGTTACTTTGACATGATATTCTCAACCTTGAAGTCCTGCTTTATTGCTGCTTATCTTGCATTCATGCATTCTGGCATTCTAACTCGTTCTTCCGCTTTCTCACCTCCCGTGCCAGAAAGCCGATACCAGATCTACCAAATGCTGCCAAACTAGGAGAGACAATAAATATATAACTACCCGACACTATCATATGCTTAGGGAGTTTATAATACCAGACCTGCGCCCCCTGATTAGGAAGCCGGGAGTTTCAAGAGCTCGCTCAGAGTGGTTGCAAGCCTCCTGGTTGAACTCAGTGTCCCAACCTCTCGTCGTCATTCGCGTGTGGTGGCGCCACGAGCACTAACTAGGTGGCTTACAACAAAAGAGCTGGGGAAAAGGCAAAGGGAAAAAGGAAGGAATGGCAAGAAGCCTGACTACTCGCTTACCACTAGTCCGAAGTCACTACGGAAAATCCGAACACAGACTTCAACTTCACGATAGCTGGCTGAGAAGCTAAAAGGATGTGCTGCCAAAGGGCGTCACGTTGATGAATTAATTTTTCAGACTAAAAAGGCTTCAAACGATCACTCTGCTCCGCTCAATCTCCGAAAACAAAAAACACACTTCTCGACGGGGAATATTAAACGCCAACCAACCTAAATTCTCTCAGACTTGGTTCACCTTCATTCTCCCTTACAACAAGACGATCAAAGCGTAGGGTTCAAATTCACCCAACGTGAGTTTGACTTTACTTTCCCATGGATTATTTCTGGCTGAGGAAGAGGTGTCCGGCAACGAATGAGAATCCGAGAACTCCCTTTTGACAGGCCCGAGGGGTCAGACAACCGAAACTGCTAAGAAATATCCCTTCCAAGGATGAGCTGCTGTGACGCACATTTGTTCACAAGCAACTCAAGGAAACCTTTTGCTAGGCTTGGTTTGTGCTGCTCGGCCTTGCTCCGGTAGGCTTTTGCGAAGTCTCCCTTCGACATGCATAACTAATGTACACGTGATTGGGAAATATCAACCCACGGATACTTCTTCGCGCAGTCAAGATATGTGATTATTGCCACACCAAGAGCAGCCTTAGTTATTTTACTAAGGGATCTTCAGGCAGATGCTGATAAAACAATAACAAAATCGATGATGCCCTTTTTTGGTCTCCCCTCTCTTGCTCACGATGGCTTCTGGTGGCTTGAGAAGGAGAGGCGGGAGACGAAGAAATCGTGTCGAGTGACGTTTCGACTTTGAGAACTAGTGAATTGGGCGATACTCGAGTCAGTCAGTCAAGTCCGAGCAGATTGTCGAAAAGCCAAAAAAAGACAGTTTTTTGGCCGGCGATCAAATTGATCAAGATCTCAAGGGATGATGATGTGGCTTCTCCCCAATTAAAATCTTATTTTATTGTTTTTATTCTTTTTCTTTTAACACCTGTTGTCTCGGTAAATCTTCCCTTCATGCCTCTAATCTTGACTCCCTGTCATTGCCACTATGTCGGTGTGAGGTTGTACAAAGCGCATGCTTCACTGTTTTGTACGTTCTCATTTCCTGCTTTATCGAATTTTCCTTCCAACTCGCGGCGTCTAACAAAACCTCCAGTTTTGGCTCTTGTGCGGGCTAAAAACCAGCCTACCCAGCTTTTAAAAAGAAACACACGCACGAAGAAAAATTAAAAAAAATAATAATACGAGCGGGCCAGCCAGGAAGCGCATGCACGCTGCGTGTCATAACTACCTCATCCGTGCTAGCATGGCCTTGATTGCTGGAAGCTCGTATCCACCAGGGCTCCTCTTGAGCTCGAGGTTCAGCATGCCGGATCCGCCTTCCGCTGGCCCTCCCTGGTACCACGCATACTGGCAAGCATGGGCATGGGCAGTTCGGAGAACGGAACGATGTTCATCAACTGATTGATCTGCCCCCGGCGTCACCTTTCAATTCATCACTAAGGGGTGACCATGGCTCAGGGGCAAGCCGGCTCTATTTTTTTTTTCCTTTGGTCGATAAAATAGCTTCTTGCACGGAGTACCCCGTAAGGGGTTACCGGATCGCGGCCCTTCTCCTGCCTCTTCCCTTGCCTTCCATGGACTGGAAAATGAGGACGAGGACATGAAGGAAACAAGCAGGAAGGAATTGATTTGAAGGTGAAGAAACTGGAAAACAAGCTTCTCTGGTTCCACCTGATTCCACACAGAGGTGCCCACCTCCTGGCTGGGAATTTCGATAATTCGGCCGGCTTGAATTCTCTCTGGCAGACTTTAAAATGTTCCCTGCGCAGTTATTCGACAACCAGCGCGTTTTGGCGTCTTGCCCACATGAATTTCCTCCAGTGGGCCGAGGTTCAAGGTCTCCAGTTTCTTAATTTTTCTTTGCTTATTCTCCTCCTAAGGGAAAGGGCGGTATTCGCTCAACGGCAAACTTTGAATTCCGACTTGACAGGCCCGGTTGGCTCCAGTTCTTCTAGAATTTTTACCAATTTGGCTCCCGTTGCTTTTTTGCCTCACGTCTCGGACCTCTCACCCTTCAGGATATGACGATGAGCTTCAGGTTTGAAGGAAGTTTCCTACCTTGAGGCGAGTTCCTTACCACCCAGCGAAATCCTCCAATCATGCGACAAAATCTCCTTTAAACTTGCGCTCATCGGCTCCGACGAGAACTTCAAACGGCTGCTGAGTGAGCTGAGCTAACAGGGATTTCCTTCCCTCCTTTGGTAAAGTTGCGCCATTTACGCAAGCCAAGCGTACTATTTTATCTAAGGGAGCATTATTTTATCATATCTTTTCTCTCAGCTTGATACTGGGATCATTATTCCTTTTTCGCCTTCCTGAAAAGGTGTTCCCGTGACCCCTTGTGCCGGCGTAACTCGGAAGTCGACTTTCTCCCAGGTGCGTGGTAATATTAGGTACCTCCAGAGAAGCAGCCAACCACCAACACCACCACCACCAAGAGAGCCCAAAGGCAGACTTTACTTTATTTTTCAAGTTCACGATAAGCGTGCCATATCGCCCGATAGATGCCAATTTAGGTATCTTCCCGCATCAAAGAAGGCCTATGCGACGAGGCAAAGACACTTGTCATGGCGTTTGCAGCGTGAGCGCGATTTCAGACACGGAGTCCTTTCTCCCTTTTTTACCCTTCCCTTCGGGCATCGCGCACACCGCTAATTCTGAGACGGAGGGTAAGAAGGGGAAAATGAATTATTGTCATCTTCGTCGCCATCACGCCATCTGCCGTGGCTTTTTTCATCTTTGCAGACTCTGACTCAGGGGGTGACTTTTGGCGTGATACTTTTGCCCATGAAAGAAACCACATGGGTTTTTTATTTCCTACCGGCTTGTCGCTCCCGAGACGCGATTCTTAAAATTCTGCGTGGGCGCAGTCAAAATATACCCTCGTTTGATTTTCGGGATCATCAAAATAAAAGGGCTGAGACAGAGCTATACCTGCTATATAGCACTATTATATCTCTAGTAGGGTATTATTATCCGCAACCGCGTGGCTATCTACCCACTCGCCATGCCCTGTGGGCTCCACACTTTTAAGGAGACCCATCGTTCTGCACCAAGCAGATGTGGGTTGACGACCAGGCAAGGGGGAAAAGGGGGCACAATAGCTGGCTTGGGCTCGATGGGATGGTTGAACATGTGTGCATGTGTTGCATGATGCCACCTCCCATCATCCCTTACCTAAGCGACAACGTCTTTTCTCTGCCTGGAGTACGTACCCAGCTATCTTTTCGCGGTAGGTTATCCATCATCCATCAAATAAATCTCCATGTCGATGGACGGAGCCATACGTACTCCATTCACTGTTGAGATACTTTGATCGGAGCCGCCCGTTGGAGATGCGGGCAGTGGGCCATACTAAACGGATAGCCTCACGACTCCGTACTTGGGGGATATGGAGAACTTGCACTCGAGCTGGAATCCGGAGAAAGCAAAGCCCATCTTATTTTCCATCCACTCCGAAGGATTGATACCAAATAACAACAAGGAAACTTCTTGGCTGTGACATCCCGAAGACACAATTTAAACCACGTTCATACCCCAGTCGGTCTAATAATTAAAGCCCTGTAGTTTTTGTGTATGTACCTCCGAATGTTTTGCATTCTTATTCTCCACAACCAAATCGCCCAGGGTGGATGAGGCTTTACGTTGTCTTAGCAATTAAGTGCGCAGGGGAGCGTTTGGACAATATTGAACAACCAGCTTCTAAAAGGTCACCCATTACTCAAGCATTGCTACCTCACTACCTCGACTTGAGCTGTAAAACTCTTGTAGAGGGAGGCTTTAACCCCGTTACCTCAACCGTAGCAGTCTTTTTCCATTAGGTTATGTGGTATTCTTGCCGTTGACAAGATATCGACAGTGTGGGCACTGTGAACCAATGACTCTGGGAAATTACTGTATCCAGCAAATATGTAGCCAAGTATAGGCCTACTCTGTATGCCGTTTTTCATAACCTTGGTTCTACCACCCTTGTCTAAAATCTGGAGAATAGTCATGGGAAACAGTACATTGGTCTCTTACAGTACACGGACGAGGAGAAGTATACAACACAATGGCGACTGCTTACGCAAGTGCTCAATCAGTCCATATGTTATTTTGCTTCATTTGAGTTCGGAATACGGACGTCTGCCTTAATTATATCTAATCTGCCGGTCTGGTCCAACAGAGATACGTTCATTTGGCTTGTTATATACGCCCATGAAAATAGACGTGTCGTATGCTATCAACTTGATTTAATGTCGGTCAAGTCGACGAATCACTATTTCTCTGCCGTTAAAGAGATGCTTGCCGGTGATGGCTTAAGCCACCCCAGCCCTTATCTTAGGAATTTCAATGTTTTACATTATGCTGGACTGATGTTGTGATACAACCCGGAGACCCTGGATAGTCATTCATCAATAGATGAGAGAATGAATAGCCTAGGTGGTCAACGTTTTCAATGTCTCTGCCAGCACTTCCCCCCAAAATCACGAAAACAATACTAAAGCTTGAAGTACCTAAATTGTACCTTGAGCTCAGGGCTTTGAATCAAGAAGAAGGTTGGATAATAGAAGGGTCACATGTATAATTTTATTTGTATTGCGTGGGCTATCCTATATACTATCCTACTCGTTAAAGTTTCCTAACCTATCCTGACATTGAAAAAAAAAAGGCCGTAAGATATCAAAAGGTATCGTGCTCCAATGCTTAGGATGCGAGAATAAACAATAAAAGGAAAAGAGAAGAAAGACAAGGAGGGGAATCAATTTAAAGGCATTACACGTAACTGACCAAGAGAAAATGACATAGGGTGTACTGTAGGGTATGTAAAAGGGAATATAAAAATGGATATCGCAAAAGTCAAGGGAAATCATCAACAGACTAGCAGGCAGTGTATAGGGAAAAAGGAAACGTAGTCGTGAAAGAGGAGCGGAGGGGATGGAAGTACTAATGAAGGACGTAGTGAGATGCCTCCTGACAAGCATGCCAGATGCGTCTGGGCGGTGCTCAACCTTGTCCATCGTCGAGCGGGATTAAAGAAAACGGGAGTCGTAATGCAGCGAAGGACATGGAACGGGTATATACATTAAGGTTGTGTAAAATCGACTAAGGAGATGGAGATTAAAGAGAGTAATGCGCGAAAAGGGCGACAATCAGATGAAATTGCCGTTTATCTTAATCTCGTTTCCTGCCTCTTTCCCCTTTTTCAGAGCTTTGGCGAGCATGAGTTCACGCATCCAATTGATTCGCTCATCCCGAGTCTTGACTGCGAAATGGTGGTTTTTGCTATTGGCAGTAAAGATTGACTTGCGCTCGGTTGGCTTGGTGGCGGGGATCAAGGAGAAAGCAAAGGCGGTTTCGTCCATACCTTTGTATGTGTTGTTGTTGAGGTTTGCTGCCTTACGAAGGACAGAGCGCTTGAAGGCTGCGGTGAGTTTTGAGTTGGATGCGAGCGAGGAGCAAGCAACGGCATAGTCGTCCACATCAATAGATTCGAGGGCTCTGCTGTGGCGGTGGGTATCAAACTCGTCCTTGTGCATAGCAAGGACGGTTCCCTTGAGGGTGAAGTGCGCATCCTGCCATTCATGTCGAAGAAGGCGAGTGGTCCTTCGCTTCTTCATCCACCCGCTGTGAGTGACATCTGGGTCCTTTGGTACGGACGAAGATGAGGACGACCCAGAGGACCCAGAGCGTTGGGTAACAGGTGGCTGTGGCTTGATGGCGGCGTCCATTTCTGCTGTATTCTCGATTGGCGAGAGGCTTTCGATCTCATGCAAAGGGGTCATGGTATTGACAGACGGGTGTCGACGATGGCGTTCAGGCCTGATGGACCTCGAACGAACAGGGGGTTCAGGAGCCTGGTGTTGTCGTGTTGAGATATTTCCGTATCTCATACCTGGAGGAACGGACTGGGACGCTTCTCTGGCCAAGGGCTCAATGGGTACAGCAGTGATCGGAACATCCATCTCTGAGAATGGGGTTCCATGACGATATGTGCTGTTGTCGTCGAAGGTGTACGGGTTGTATTCCTGGGTTGCGGTGGGTGAATTCACAACTCGAGCGCCCATAGAAGGGGTAACAGTGCGCAGAGCGGATGCTGGATCGCTGACGGATTGAGTTTGATTTGGGATGGTGAGTTTTGGTAGGGATCGAAGCTGGTTGGAGACATGGACGGGTTGTTCCTGAGAAGGAAGAGGCGGAAACATCTCCAGGGGCCGATTTGTCGAAGCCGAATTAAGGTCGGGACTATGCATATGCTGGAAAGTGAGGAATTGCCGAACATTTTCCTGCGGGTCTCGTGGTCGAACACCGTTCAAGTTTTCAGCATTGAGTTGAAGTTCAGTATGTAGGTCTGGCAGCTGGCCGGGTCCGAGGACATCGGATGAGGCAACAAGAGAGGGCGCAGCATCGGACTTTCGGCTGATCTGGGTCATGGCGGGAGTTGGAGGCACAACCTGATTTGTCGTTGCTACCAGCTCACCATCTATGAGGGCGAACTCGTTGGGAAACTGCTTCGCAATCCTGGCGAGCTTGCGTTGTCTCTTCTGGTACTTTGAGCAGTTTTCTCCCTTGGAGCATTTGTGTGGTTTAGGTAGGAGCTGCTCTATAGCAACAATGGAAACGGACTCAGCAGGTGATATGATATCTTCCTCTGAAATAACGCGGTTGCGGCGTCCACGTCTCTTCGAGGAAGGCGGGCCATGTCTAGCACCATCATCAGGCGATGTAGATGTTGTGCATCCAGGCGAGTCGACCTTTGGTAGAGGAGGGCTGTTTGACATTGAAGAGTTAACCCGTGCAAGTTCCGGCATGGAGTTAGGGTCAGAAGCATTCCGTAGGGTCTGGATCATGTTCATAAGGTAGTGGCGCTTGCCGAAGGACTGAATATCTAATTCCTTAAGGTCATCCAGGTGTAGGTCGAGAAGGACGGCTCCGGAGATATCGTTTTGAATGAACCGCTCAACCAAGCTGTCCTCCACGCCAACCTCGTACATCCATTCGGCCACTTGGGTTGGTGTCCAATTTTGGACAAACGACGGATTGTGGTGTTTTTGGTGTGATATGCTACTGGAAGTCCTTGGTATCTCTGGAATTTGAGCAGGTTCAGAAGATCTTCGCTCCTGAGGTGCCCACATTGGGACTTTGATATCTTCAAGGGAGACCGGAGACATCGACAGCTGCCATTCCTCAACGGCTGGCTTTTCGAGCATCGTGCTATCCATAGAACCCCTGAATAAATGAGGACCAGACGGTCCCTGTACCGGCTTATTTAGGTTTCGTGATGGAAGCTCAAAGGCCCGGGCCTCGTAAGGACCAGGAGTCGGGGGCTCATCGGAAAGCGAAAGAGTAGTAGCGCTGTCAGTTCCAAACTGGATGATTGAGCGTTAGTGAATGGAAGATTTTTATCCAAGTACTTGGTTAAATAAGTGTACTTACTGATTCTATACTTCTTCGTGGCGATTCCGGCTCGGAATAATCAACCTCATAGTCGAGATCTTGGATTTCCGTTGCTTCAGACAGAGGCGAGAATTTGAAAGATGAGCGACTCATCATGTACTCCAATCGTCTGATGATTGTTGACTGGAGGGAACGTCTGTATGTGGGCCCCTGCAGGAGGGGAGGAATAGTATGTCGTAG